ATTTCTTTCTCTCTTCTGCAAGACTTCAATCACGGTAATGCAGGCTAAATCACGGTAATTCAACATCTCGTAACATTGCAGGTATAAGGAAAGACGATGGGATTTTAAGAAACTAGTTGGATCTGGTGGAATGCCTTCATCTCATTCTGCAACTGTTTCTGCTCTTGCTGTAGCCATTGGGCTCCAAGAAGGCTTTGGAGGATCAATCTTTTCCGTTGCATTGATCTTAGCATGTGTTGTATGGTCTCCCTTAATCATTTTCTGCCTACCATTATGAGTATAATTCTAAAGATCCTGGAACCATTCTGAGAAGACGTGTGACATTAAGAATTTGTTGGCAGGTAATGTACGATGCTACTGGTGTAAGATTACAAGCTGGACGCCAAGCAGAGGTTATATGCTTCTTCTGCTGCTTTGTTCCAGACCCCCACAAAGCCTCTTCCTCCTCTACTGCCTAATTGCTTACTACATGCATATTATTTTTATGCCTTAAAGCTTATCTTTTTCCTTGACTGTTTTAATTTTGTAGGTTTTGAATCAAATTGTTTACGAGCTTCCTGCTGAACATCCTTTGGCTGAGAGCAGACCATTGCGAGAACTTCTTGGTCACACCCCTCCCCAGGTTCCCATTAAGATGAGATTGCGCTGTTTATTAATAGATTGAGTCTATGAAATTTACATCTTAATTAATTTGTTCATACAATATTAAATAGGTTGTCTAGGTTATGATTATAATTTATACCTGACCATTTTACGGTTCATTAAATTAACTTGTATCTGTTTCCTTGGTTCCTACTTAATTTGAGATAAAATGGGAAATTGTTATTTTACTGCAAATTTAGGCTTCCATGGCCCTCATAGTTCATATGCATGATGAAAATTAGGAAAACTTGATGAAACTGTGATTATGGTTAGACAGATATTGAAAGACTGCTTAGCTAATCATTACCTTTTCCTATTATCTTTGGGATAATGTGGAACTTGAGATCATGTAGACATGTGGATTGCCCTTTGAATAAATGGTTTCATGAATGCTTGGCAGTGTCTTGGGACTTATCGGATTTTGGCTGGGAAGGTTTCAAAGAGCACCTATGGCTCTTAAGGGGGATATCCATTTGTAGCTTTTTTGTGTTCTCCACAAGAAATGTTAGGATTCCAAAAAATTGTCTGACTTGAAGTGGTTTGGAAGTTTAGTTAAGAATCCCATGTCCAGGATTCACTTCCATTGGACAAAGATTTGAAGCCCTTCTTTCTAACATTCAGCTGCATTCTATTTAATTGCAGGTTATAGCTGGAGGTTTGCTTGGTATTGTCACCTCTTCTGTTGGCCAATTGGTGATCGTAATAACCAGGTCTTGAATCTTGTGCTGAAGTTGATCAAGCAGATTACATTGTTGTAGCTCTGATCTCATCAATAATGAAAGGTGTTTGATGGAAATTTCAGTATCAGATTATTCTTGTGAATATGGTCTGCACATACCTCTGATCATTGAGATATTTCAGAATTATTGCTCGATTGATTGCTGTATTTAGTGCCAACAAGCTGCAGCGAGACTTGCAGTAAATCAGAAAACAAACATATAGCTCCTTAGCACCTTTGTTTTTAGATAGCCCTATTAGCATCCGATTCATGTAATTTTCTTAGTTCTTGCTGGTTACCTTTTATTAATTCTGGATAAAAGGGGAGAAGGCTATTTTCTACTGGAATGGTTAAGAAAAAAAAAATTCATTTCTGTGGCTGCCATTGCTGCCCTTCTCAATCTCACTTCGCACAGTATCATATGCGACTAAATTATTACTCTTTTATTGATAAAAATTCATCTTTATTATGCGAAGCTAATGATCTCAGATAATGATCATAACTCAATATATCAAGACATCAAGCTTATATGTGCCAATAATTCCTATAACCGATAATCTTTTATCTTTATTTTTAAGTTAAAATGGTACAATGTTGAATAAAGTACATTTCGTTCTGCAATGTGCCCCAAGTTTCCAATAGAATAGGAAAAAAACAATAAAGTAAAGCCCCAAAAGAATAGGAAAAAAACAATAACACATCACTTTAACAGAGCTGTAAAAACTCTTTTCATTTGTGTGTTTAGATCCCCAGAAACACCAGACTTCACCCTCCAAGCAATATGCTCGTCGGGCCGAACTAAGATCGCTCCATTGTCTGTCATCCGACAGACATCCCACCATGATGGTGAAGTTGATGATTGCCGAATTTCTTGAACATCCATGTAGTTCTCCCATGGTGTTAGTTCTTGCTGGCTTCTTGACTCAACCCGGGGGATATCAGCAGACCATAAAACACATACTTTAACAGAAGTTTTGAATTCTTCAGCAGCTATCTTGAGAGCAGAGCGAGCAAGATGGTAAGACTCTGGTAGCGGTGCAATTATGAGAAGGAATTCAACTTTATCCCCAGATACAAGATCAAGAGTAGAAATCATATCCTGTACACGCCCATTTCCAGTATTCAGTTGATTGATTTAAATTATCACTCATTTATCTAATAATAGCCCAATTCGCTAGCAACACAGCAAAAATGATAGTTAAAAAAATCGATTATTTAGTTCACTAAATATGTTTGAAACCAATAATAAGATTTTGATGTTTCAAATGGCCATTTAATAGACACGAAAGCTCCATTTAAGAAAATGACCCAAATGGTCGATTCTGATATGATAGATTCACTATTTATCAAGAAGTATCACTGGTATGCCAAGTGCATGTGCTGGAAGAACAGCAAGACCATTTAAAAACTTTAGATAAGTATGAAGGGAATGGCGACTTCGTACCTCACTCGCCAATGTCCTCACATTCATATGAGGCAGCCTTGATCCTGGATCTGCAGAAGGGACATACTGTCTCCGACGACCTGTAGGTTCCTCTGGACCACTGAGCAGAGTATTGTCAGGAATAAGTGCCCCTTCAGAGTACCTAATGCCCATGGATAAGATTGAAATGAATATAATTAGGCTATCATTGAACCACATGCCCCACTAAATGAGCTTCACTTTCGTTTATAGTTTGGTACACTAGTAGCTAGTAGCTAAATAGGGAAATACTGGTGGATGGAATCAAACACCTAAAGTCAAATTAGTTCATGCATTGAGTTCGATAAAAGTTATACCTAAATCCAAGATCCTCTGCGGGGAACTGAAGTTGAAGGCTCTTCCCTTCATCAAATATCTGTCTTAGCTTCGCAAGCCTTGAAGATCCAATGGGGTTTTTATCATTCAGAAGAGATTCTGAGAGCTGCATACGACCTATCTTAAAAATTCCATCCAGAACTGAGCTCTGTAGTGAAGATGGTAAAACAGAACCAAGCCCATGGTTAACTGCTTGGTGCACTGCCAAGTTAAGGAAAGAGGAATAATTTGCTATGTTGCAAAAGGCCTATAGATGTTTACAACTACAAGCAATATGATAAATATTAGCTGAGCGTGTTTTCTAGCATGACAGTAAAATTAGATGAAGCTTCTACTAACCTGAGTTTGCAATTCTTGGATCCAGACCAAGAGCTGCAGGCACTTCCATGGCTGCTTTGAAGTTCTTAACGCTAAGGGCTGTATTGAATTGTGCTATCTGCCATGGAAATGACAGAAGTCAAGAATCGATTGGAGAATTTGTTGCTGAATTTTAAGTAGGTTTAATAGCAACATGTAATTATTCACTCCCCTCCAACTAATGGTTGGATGAAAATGATTGAGGTATGAATACTTCTCTTCTACTACTTAGCTATGACAACAAGCTTTGGTCTAACTTGGATATTGAAAGGGTGTTTGGCAGGAACCATTGTGGTGCTTAATTTTCTCTTGTATAGGTATTTATGGTCTTTCTCATCTTTCCTTGAGCATTCTTATTTGTAATAGCAAGGTAGTGTCAACATGGATTACATTTGCTCAAGCAACTTTGACAACATAATCAAAATAAGAAAATGAGTAAAAATGATAAGAAGATTACCGGCCTCCTTTCCATTTCATAAGTATTTAATATTGAAGGTGAAGCAATATCTTGTAGCACTGCAGCTAATTTCCATGCAAGATTATGAACGTCTTGAATACCAGTATTCATTCCTGCATCCATCATACATCGACAAATGATAGCTCAATTCTACATTTATGGAAGTCTTTACCTATAATAGCGTCTATGAAAAGATCATTGAGTTTTTGTCTCCATTGAATTGATAAAATCACTCGAAAATACATTAAAATATATATGCATTTGTCTTTCTCTTCTCTTTCATTTAACCGATCCTGATTCGATCTAGGAAGCTTGGACACACTCTAGTTTGAGCATAATGTTGGTGAGAGAAAATATGAGAATGATGTCTAGACGCATTGAAAAGTACAGAGGATGCCTAGACGCATTCTGTAGAGACGAAGAAAATATATTGAAAAAGATAACAAAAATTGTGCATCAAGAACTAATAAATAAATAAAAACTAATAAATGGAAGAGAATAAATAGATTTCACCTAACAAAATTCAAAAAAGTGGTGAGAGAAAATATGAGAATGATGTCTGACTGACTAAGATACCAGACTTCATCCTCTTTCATTGTTAGAAAATGTTATGTCCTTAGAAAAATCTATAGTTTACTTTGTAATAATTAATTTTTTAAAAAATGAATAGATCAAGTACACAATTCCAAATGTTTATATAACAAAATTTTCAAAAATAACTTTTGAACATTTCCCAACATCATCGTATATGTATATTTATAAGAAAATGATTTGTCATTGGAAATGATAAGCCACACAGCGTATTATATTACAAATCCCAACCAAAAAAAATTACAGCATAAAACATAAGTACTAACCAAAACCACCGGCTGGAGGGAATCGATGGGCAGCATCGCCAGCAAGCAATACACGATTATGACAACATATGAACTTCTCGGCAACTTCAGCATGCATAATCCAAGGTTTTACATCTTGCACATCTATGTCGCAGAGGTTTAGACCAACCAATTTGAAGATTAACTCCTCACACATCTACAAGAAATTGAATCCATTATTCTAGAAAGAACATATGATCAGCATCAATACATACTACTTATGCAGGTTAATCATGTGAAAACACAATTATATAAAGGGATATCAATGTAACTTCAATAGTATATCTCACTCTAAAGCTAGCGCTCAATTCAACATTTTTTCTATAAATTTAACATACTCAACGAAAAGATGATGGACAAAATTACCTTAGGACTGAAATCTTCGATGCTTTGTTGAGGAGGATAGAATGGTACCTACAAAATAACAAATAACAGCTTAAGTGTAAGATGCACATGAAACAAGCATTGTATCAAGATGGTGGGCGATACCTGAAGTATAAATTCCCCTTGCTTGAGATCATGAGCAACAAGAACCCCAATAGCTTCAGTGTTAAAGATGAAATATAGCATACCAGGTCTCTCATTTAGCAGATACTCACCAAGCTCTCTACTAAAAAAATGGACGCTTACAAGCTTTTGTAAGTCATTTTCACCCTTTATTTCTATGCCTACTAGCCTCCGGACAGTACTTCCAGCACCATCTGTACCAACAAGGATATTACTGCAGATATTCCTCCTCTCGGTGTGCTTCCCTTCCTTGAGGTAAGATGCAGTCGTGGTTACAGAGTCATCAGTAGCATCAATAGAAACACACTCGTGACCCAGAAGTATTTGCTTTTCTCTTACTATACAGGTGTCTTCCAAGCTATCTGGTGAACAGACTTGAAACCCAAGATTTTGAAGTTTCTTAAGTAGTAACCTATTTAGTTTGTACTGGGAGAAATGTGCAACAGAAACCGGGCTGATAATGTTCCCAAAATCTGTAGAAGGTAGGAGCACAATATTTAAAACTAAACATTTTTATATTCCTAGGAAAATAAAAATACACAATTTCACTAAATCCAGATATTCTTGAAATCTGTATTCGAAAAAGAAATAAATTTCATTGAACAGATGAGTTACAGAACAGAGGGAAGCCAAACGCCAAACTAGCAAAAAAAAATATTTTAGGCAATAGTTAAACACAGGAATATAGAGCTTGCATCAAGAGAAGGTGACAAAGGTAGGATTTTCCCAAAACAAACAAAATATCTCTTTTTTGTCGAGAAAATTCGTATTTTTCTTTTTTTTTTTTTTGGAAAGGAAACTATTACATTGATATATGAAATATGAATACAAAGGGCCCATGATTAGACTACAAAAAGGCTCTCCAATTAGAAAGGAGAGAGGTGAAACTATAGTGACGAAAGAGTGGGGAGCATTTACACCAAGATATAACCAAAAAGACTATAGAATCAAATAAGAGATGTAGTGAGCACTCCCTATCTTGGAAAATTCTTTGATTTCTTTCCATCCAAACCGTCCAAAGCAAGGCTTGAACAAAATGAAGCCATAGTTCTCCTTTTTGAAGGGGTGACCAGTGGGGGTATAGTCTAGGAGGATCGATAAATCAATAGGTAAAGCCGTTGACCATCCAAACATAGAAAGAAGCTTTTGCCATAAGCTAGAGGCTAAGTCACAGGAGCTAAAATGTGTCCAATGGACTCACCATGATGCTTACCATGTTGCTTGCATAAAATGCCCCAGTGTGGGGAGATATTCGTGAAGGACATACGTCTTTGAAGCTTGTCCTGTGTATTGATAGCATTGAGGCTAGATTCCCAGAGGAAGAACTTAATCTTCTTGGGGGTAATGATCCTTCCAAATAGCACTGTATAGGGAGGATGAGGCCTGTGTTGTTGCTGTTTGTTGGATGTCTTTGATGAGGGAGGAGGTACTGAAATGTCCATGTGGTTCCAATCTCCATATGATAATATCCCTGTTGGATGAGAGGCTGATGGAGGAGAGATGTTAACTCCATAATCTCAACATCCTTTAGATGCCTACAAAATTGGATATCCCAAGAACATTCAGCTGAAGACCAGAATTCTTGAACAGCAACCGATTTCCTGTTATGTAAGGCGAAGAGCAGGGGGGATGATTGGCAAAGGGGGTAAGTGGTGAGCCAATTATTCTCTTTCTTTTTAGCCAAAGGAACCTCAAAACAGCTCTAATGAACTAAATCTAAAGTATCTCCTTCTCCTTTTGAAAGAATGTCTGCCATTGGTAGTAGATAAGAGACTCTTAACAGCACGGGTTGGAATCAAAGTACATTCTTCTCCTTTTTGAACCACATGACTCTTCCTCTCACAAAAAGTCCCTCATTACTTTTCAATAGCATGAGCCACAATCAATGGCATGCTAAGAACTCATGTAAAATGAGAGGGCAAATTAGACAAAGTATCCTGAATTAGGATGAATCTACCACTTTAACAAGGATGGATTTTCCACTTTTGGACTATATAAACTCCACTGTGTATTCCAACAGTCATGGTTTTGCAAAGATTGGAATTTAAACCAAAGTCCAATTTGAAAGTTCTAATAATTCAAAACAGATTGCTCAACTTCTCTTCATCATCTGGAAAAAAAACATGGTGCCGTCAACAACTTGCAAATAGTTTACTTTATGGAGAGATCATTCCTTCCCCACTTGAAGCCTTCCACGAAGCCAATTTGAGCACCTTTAGTTAAAAACATTCCAAGGCAATCAGAAAGCTAGAACAAATAAGGAGGAGGAAAGGGTACCCCTTGCCTGATACTTCTAGTAGCTTAGAATTTTACCAATAAGCTTGAGATTTATGATGAGAAATTAGCGCACAAAACAGCATCTAAGAAAACAAAGTCCGTCTTACCAAAGGTTTTCTTCAAATCCAACCTGATTATAGAACCATTCTTTTCTCTTCTGCCAATCATCAAAGAATTCATTTGCAAGGATGCAGCAATACTCATCTTTTGCTACATCCATAAGGACCATTACAAAGCCAAACTAGCAAACTAACTATAAACCATTGAATAGAATATCTTATCTGAATCTTCTGTATTAAGTATCAAAATTATTGAATAAAATATCTTATTCGTATCACAATGTTCTGGTCATGCAAGTCGAAAAACTGTGAACCTGTCTTGTATTGTAGTATACGAAATTAAAAAGGGATACAATGTACCTTGAGGTTGCATATGGTCTACAGACCCAAGAATTGCACCATTGAGTGAAGTACAATATATGAACTTTCTCCATGAGTCTACTGGCGGTTGACATAATTGTATCTCCTCTGCCAGTCCATGCAATTTGCGAAATACCTATCAATCAGTTCTGTATAAACACGTTATTTTGAAGCTTTAACTCGAAGATTGATAGCAGCTTCATTGTAAGAAAGTCAATCAACCTCCATAGATCTGTTATTTATGAAGTGAGCTTGCGGATGGTTAGAGAAACTTCTATTCTTCTCCACAACTGCACATTTGACCCCTACAGGAAGGAGAAAGCGCATATGCCGCAAAATGAAAGGAACTAGCATTAAATTAATGCAAACTTATATATAGCATTTCTAGTACCAACTTGAAAGTTCCTTATTTTATCAAATTATAATGTAACTGGTTTCCACTTTGCACGGGATAACAATGAACTTATCCTTCATGTTCTTATTATTATTTTTTTCACAGAAGCACAAAGCAAAGGAGAAGAGCAGACACTAATTAGTAAAGCGAGAACATTGTAAAAATTCCAATTTTTCATCGTCGAGAAAAATAGGGACAACAGAACAAAATATACCTAATTTAGTGAGGAGAATAGCAAGGACGAGACCTACAGGTCCTGCACCAACAATCAGAACCGGAACCATTGTATCTTCGCCGCCATGGAAAATCTTGGAATTTGATAAGCCTCTGCTCTGAACGAGCCCAAGCGGTAGAGCTCGGAGTTTTGCATCAAATTTCCGAAGGCCATTAAATCTATTGACAAAACCTAAAAGACCCATCACTCTGATTGAGAATAAGCTCAGAAGATCGCCATCGACGTTCTGAAATGAAACAGTCATGCAAGGTAGTTGCACTTTCCTACTGTTGTAATTAAACGACAAGTCGTTTCGGACTTGGATCAATGGATAAATACGGTCAAAGAAATGTTGCCCGATCCAACGAAATTTTTTGGGCTTCAGTTTCTAAAAAGCCCATTGCCAATATGGTCCACTTTTTCATCTCCGGCCCAATTCCCTTGGATCCATATCGAATAAGCTCAAAAAGCGTGAGAGTACGCCGTGGCCGCGTTTCATTGGTTGAAGCTTTTTAAACAAAAGATCTGGTCAAATCATAATTTAATAATTTCGTAATCCACAAAAGTTACAGCGACACCACGTAACTGACAAAAAAAATGTACGGCTCAGATCTCAGTAGTTTGGCCCATCAAGGCCACGTGATAAGGGTCAGAAACTCCCCCACCACCTCATTAAACCAATTATCAAATCTCAGCTCTTCTGGGCAACTGACACGACTCCTAATCTCTACCGTCCACGTGTCAATCGTAGTTTCAATCCTCTGCTAGTAACCGTTAGGACAACCGTGTGCTGCCGCAGGAGGCTCTGTTTCCCTCTCGCTCTTTCGAGCATTACTAAATAATGTTTTCCCCTAAAGATTCCACAGCGAGGAGATGGGTTGAAATTCCATCAATTCCCATGAAATTTTTTTATTTCTTTAATTCAATTTTTTACCATATTTTCCATCAAATTGGGTCGCCATAAGGCGTCAATCCATGCATTTTTTTTATTCCTCCAATGGGATCTTGAACTTTATCTTCAAACTTCATCTCAGCTACTTCCCAAACTTCCATGGCTTTTTGACGAATCGTTTTCTCTCTATTTGCTTTCTTTGGCTATACAAACCCATCTGACATTCTTGCCATTTGAAGCTTTACACTATTTGTGAAGCTTCAAATTTCCGTGCGCTTTTTCCTCTGTTACATTCGTTCTCGAAACTTTTTTTCACCCCAAGAAGAAAGAAAGAAGTGGAGCTCAAGTCAGAGATCCATGGCGGATGGAAACTTAGATCTATACAATAGATCCGAATTTGCGCAGATTTTTCAGAGTTTTGGCGTTGAATCTTCACTTGATTTGATTTAGAAGTTCACTTGAAGCTCAGTTACCGGAGTGAAGTTGAAATCGAAAGTGGAGCTGAAAACTGAAGGATATGATGAGGCCTGTGGAGGATAAAAGCTGCTATAATCACGAACCGATTCGAGATTTATCGAGCAGTGCGATAAGTTTCGAGTTTCAGAAAGGGAATGGAGGCAAACGAGCTTCGCATCACCGTACGGCGTTAGGAAAACCAACGCCATCGAAATGGGACGACGCGCAAAAATGGCTGGTTGGATTTTCAAAGGGAGGGGAAAATAATCAATCGAAAACCACACCGAGAAACTCGAATGCGGATGATTTGAGGCTTATAGCTCCTGTGCCACAGAAGGAGCATGATTATTCGAGCAACGATGAAGAAGAACTACAACAACAGCAGCAAAATGGATGCTCTGTTTCTGCAATGGCGAATCAGTACGAAGCAGAGACGAAGAGAGTCGATTGTCGCGATTCAATTTGGCGAATCAATAAACAGAAGGAGAATCCCGCAACGGCGGTGAGGTCCATATGCGTGAGAGACATGGGGACGGAGATGACTCCGATTGCGAGTCAAGAGCCATCGAGGACGGCGACGCCGATTCGAGCCACGACGCCGGCGGCGCGTAGCCCTATATCGTCTGGATCGTCAACTCCGGCGAGGTACGATCAGGCGAAGCAAGCTACTGAAAGCTCTCAATCGAGGATTCAGTTCAATGATGGCAGAGTAGAATCGAACTCGAATCGATGTGGTGAAGAATCAAACGCCGTCAAAATAGGTGAGAACGATCGAGATTCTTCTGATCAAGCGAAAAAGATGAACTCGCTAGAAACTAGGGCAATGGCTTGGGACGAAGCGGAACGAGCCAAATACATGGCCAGGTAATCTATCTCCTTCTTCTACTTTTAAAAAGAATTTGGTAGTTTATAGACTTATTTATATATTTTAAAAAATATAGAGATTAAATAAACAAACTTATTAAATTTAGAAGTCTGAATTATTTAGGCTATGTAGACTGTTTTGTTAACATTCTTGTTTCCAATAGTTAAGATCATGCTTATTCCATTATACAATTCATGTGGAATGTTTTTTTACTCTTTTTTTAAAACACATTTAAGTTTTTAGCTATATTAAAAAAAAATAAAACTGTTTTCTATCATTTATTTTGAGTTAGATTTTGAAGATGTTCTTAAAAAATAGATAACTAAATATTAAACTTAAGTTTAATTTTAAAAGAAATATAAATAAATAAATGTTAAAATAATTATAATATATTTATAGTTGTTTTGAATTTTGAGTCATTTTAAATCATAATAGATTTCAAACAATTTTGGTTTTGTGGTGGGTCTCATAACATATTTAGAATCTTACCTTATTCCAAATCATATTTTCAAATTTGATAGCATTATTTAATATAATTTAAAGATAAATTAATTACGTTATAGTCATATATTAACTTATTGAGATTACCTTTTAAATTATTACTATGTTAGAAGACCAACACGAAAATAACTCTAACTATGTACTTCCTCCTTCAAGGCGAGGTGGAAGCTTGATAGTTTCATGTCTCTAAATTGTTGTACTATAAAAACATCTCAGTTAAGAAAAATAATTTAAAATAAAAATTTACAGATTTAAAATAATTCGTGGAACATGGGAAAAAATTGAGGGCGCAGTAGTTGCATTGCAGATTTAAGCGAGAAGAAATGAAGATAGAAGCGTGGGAAAATCAGGAGAAGAGAAAAGCGGAGATGGAAACGAAGAAAGTAGAGGTAATTAATGAATTACATTACCTCTAATCATACTCATTATACTAAAGTGAACATGATTTGATGGTAATTAACATATATCTCTAATCAATAAAATATGAGTTCGATCTTCACTTCCACATGTTGTACTAAAATAAATAAATAAATAAATTTGGTATGACGGTGATATGATCAGGCTCGAGCGGAGAGGATGAAGGCTCGAGCGCAGGAGAAGATGAGGAACAAGGTCGCGGCAACCAGAAGAATGGCGGAAGAGAAGCGAGCAAATGCAGAGGCCAAACTCAACGAGAAAGCCGTAATCACTTCGGAGAAAGCCGATTATGTAAGGAGGACTGGTCATTTGCCTTCTTCGTTCTCCTTCTCCTTCAAGTTCCCTTCCCCCTGCTGGTAGTACTCGCCTTTTTTTTTTTTTAAATGGAATGTTGCAATGTAATGTATTTTTTGGTGAAGGGATTTTCGATATAATAATAATATGATGTGGACTTTTCTTTATTTATAGCCTAAGATTAAAATCTGATTTTCTTTTGTAAATGGATCTATTATGCCCGTGCTGCTTAGGTCAAAATGATTATAAGGATAAAAGAGTGATCTTTGAACGCTATCACACATCATTCAAAATAGTCTCGTATAAAGTGGGTTTGGATATAGAGTGAAAAATCAAAGCATCGAGTCTTGATGTGGTGATATATGTATTTATTCATGCTCGAATCTATAACTACGATAAATTTGTTGTAATGTTAATGTGATATCGAAAACATGAAAAAATAAATAGAGAAATTAAGCTATCTAGACATGCATGATTGAAATAAGTTTTTTAGAAGGTTTAAATTAATGTAAGTTAACTTTTATTTATGAGCCAACAAATAACAATAGTATGTAAACTTTGAGTCGTTAAAAGACATTTTAGTCTTATGCGTAAGTTTTATTCCATACAAATGGAGGAATGATAATCTAAGTTTATGCGAATTTGAAACCTCACTATCAGCTGGAAAAATGTCACTGTTCATGTATGATTTCCATTCTCGAGGAGCTTAACCAAAAGTCTTGACATTGAAATAGGGTAGTTTGAGACGACCTTTGCTTTGGGCGTTCCGCAAATGAGCTCGGTTTCCAAATAATAATGTTATATTATTATTATTTTAACTTATCTTCAAAATTAGTTCTTTAATTTTTGAAATACTTAGCTCTATTGTCCATCTTACTAGTTGGAATTGCTTTATTTTAATTTTTTTTAACGAAGTTGGAATTGTTTTATTGAGGATGGTGTAACCATCTATTAATAGTGGCTTTTCAAGTTTATAAATTCATTCATTTTATTTGAAAAAAAATGTTAATCACGATGCGTCACTGGACTATTGGCTAAACTTTGAAATAAAAAAGAATTAGTATACTATGTAATAAATAATATTGTCTCTATGTCTACTTGAGTTTTCGTGAATAAATTTACCTCAGTCAACTAAAGCATGATTCAACTAACTAAGCATATATAATATCGACCAAAAAATTGGAAATTATAATCTCCCGATCTCACATCATGTTGTGAAGGGAACCTATGAGAGAAGGTTCTCGAATCGGGTTCCAACCAAATAGAGTGCGGAGCCAACAAGTTCAGTTGAACGACGTAATGAGTCTAAGGGCGAAATCAAGATTGAAAGGAATGAGCGTAGGCTTAATAGTGAATGCAGACCGCTTCTCGATATGAAATCAATGACTTAAAAGACAAGTGCTGAGAGAAAGAGTTAGTCTTCTATATTGCGTTACGAAGAGAGATCGAAGATGAAGATTTTCTGATGAATTAAAAAAAAAGTTATATATATATATATATGTATATATGATATTACCACTCTTAAAATTGAATGTTCTATTTTGTACCTCCCTATTTATCAGACTGTAAACAAATATTTTAAAGATGTGTAATCACACACGATATCGATGATAACATTAGTTGAATGTTTTGTACATGTATATTGATAGAAACCCTAATGTGCAGGTTTTTTTTTTCTTTTTAACTTTTATAAATAGTATACTATTTCCATATCGTTACTTTTTATATAAATAATCAATCAATATTTTTGTATAGAAGATATGTATTTGTAATATTAAAGCTCATGATAATTGAGATGTATTATTTCCCTCGAGTTCAAATTAAATTGTTTTTTTAATTAGTATTGTTTGTCAAAATGAATAATTTACACGATTTAATCACATCTATTTTACATATTTATCATTACAAATAAGGAAAAGGACTTGAAATCGGTTTGAAAAATATAAAATTACGGGATACGGAAGTATCCTTTAAACTTGATTGATTCCAAATAAAGTGAAAACTACCATTAAAATAGGAAATTGTTCTGTCAAGGAAAGAAAAAAAGGAAATTGTTTAACAAAAACACGTCCAAAAAATATATTGTTTTCCACTTTATTTGAAAATAAAAGAAATAAAATTAGTCGAACCGACGCATCGGATCGGACCGCCCATGTGCTACGTGTATTGTATACTCCAAATCGAAACTTTCCCAATTCTTCATCTGACTCCGTGGTCGCTTCGTCTTCGATTGACTAGGGTTCTCTCTACGCGTCTATCTAGGAGTTCGCTCGCTGGGGTTCTCTCCGATTGATTCCGCTGTTCATCCATTACTAATTTCCGGATTAGAGGTCGATGGTCGGATTCAATAGCCCCTAGGTTACCTTTAGAACGCGCAATCGATTTGAAGGGTATATTTCTCAACCTCGAATCGCTCTTCGAGTTTTGGTTTATACTGCAAGATTCGTTGAAAATTTGACCATCTTTTGTGGGGTTTACTTATTTCTTTGTTCACATCGCGATTCTTTTCGCGATCTGAAAATTATTTGATTTAGGGTTCCGACTTGTATTTTTTGGCCGACTTTGGGCTGTTCTTATTTTCAAAATTGGGGTTTAGGGTTTTCTTTTGGAATTATTGGGCGTCGCTGGGTAGGGTTTGGTATTTTAATGGCAGCGGGGAGGATGGGGGGTTATCGCGACTACGATTTGAAGGACCGGGATTCCAGTTTTGATGTTTCAGGAGTCAATTCGAAAGAAGAATATGAACGTGGGCGGCGTGGTAACCGTGAAACCAGCAAGAGTCGAGTTGGGGATGCTAGAGACAGAATTAGGGTCAGGCAAAAGGATATCAAGGAGAGGGAAGTGAGCAATGGTAGTTTACGATCTTCAAGTAGGAGTGACTCTGGCAGCAGTGGTGGGATTGCCTCTCACGGAATCAAGCAAAGTGTTTTCATTGTTAGGACAATGGATAGGGAGCCAGGTGAGTTATCGAGTGAGAGTGGTTCTGAGGATGCCACTGAGTCCGGATTAAGATTCAAAGGTAGCGAATTATCAATTGTTGTGGAGAATGGGATTCATTCTCCACTAGAGAAGAAGAGGAAGTTCTCGCCAATTGTTTGGGACAGAGACGATAAGGAAGAGATTGTTTCCACAAGAAATAAGGTTGCCAAGGTTGTGACAACTTCATCTTTACCCTCTCCTAAGGAGCAGCAGCAATCTTCTAATGTAATGTCAGATAATCTTGATGCCATACCCACAGTTAGAGATAATGATTCCCAAGATTTGCAACCATCCTCTCTTGTTGAACCTTCTGTGGCCCTTGGATCAGATGAATTCTCCGTGACTGACTCACCAATGATGCCGTCTTCTGCTTCACTTAGGAAACCATGGCAGAATGATCTTGAAGTAGAAAATCTCGGGGATGATGATTATGTTCCCACTAGAAACATTTCATCCTCTAGATGGGCTGCTGGAAATAATTCTCCTGGTGATGAAGGTGAAATTTTCGACAACGAGCAAATGCCCAAAAGGCGTAAGACAATACCAATGTCCGAATCCTTGGAGGGCATGGGAATACAAAGAAAATCATTAACTCCTGAGATCGGAGAGATAATGAGACAAGGCTCCGAAGCAGGGACAAGATCATCTGAATCTACTGAACGTGGTGACCGGTCTCGATCATCAAGTGGGAACCATTACCTTGGTAATGATTTTGAGAAGGATGAAGGTATGGATCTTGGTGATGAAATTCATAGAATGGATACAAGCAGTAGTCGGTTAGATACTGATTCTGAAGATGAGACAGAATCTCCCGAGAAAGCAGAGCCTAGTCCCCCTCCCCAACGAAGTGTAAATATGCTTCAAGGCTGCAGAAGTGTTGATGAATTTGAAAGACTGAACAAGATTGATGAAGGAACTTATGGTGTTGTATATAGAGCCAGAGACAAAAAGTCGGGGGAAATTGTTGCATTGAAGAAGGTAAAAATGGAAAAGGAACGAGAAGGTTTTCCCATGACTTCTTTAAGGGAAATAAACATTCTCCTTTCTTTTCATCACCCTTCAATTGTTGACGTAAAAGAAGTGGTAGTGGGCAGTAGTCTTGATAGCATTTTTATGGTAATGGAGTACATGGAGCATGATCTAAAAGCACTCATGGAGACAATGAAGCAGCCATTTAGTCAAAGTGAAGTCAAATGTTTGATGCTTCAGTTACTGGAGGGTGTTAAATATCTTCATGATAATTGGGTGCTTCATAGGGACTTGAAAACATCAAATTTACTATTGAATAATCAGGGAGAGTTGAAGATCTGTGATTTTGGATTAGCTCGACAATATGGGAGCCCCTTGAAAACATATACGCATATGGTTGTTACTCTTTGGTATAGGTTAGTTGCATCTTTCTTGCACTCATGTCTATTTCTATTCATTTTTTTCTTATAATTTCTCTTTTATACTATTGGATGCATTAATTGCCCTGATTATGTTGGAGATGACGAGTTAAAATTCGTAATTGACTAATTATGGGGTCATTATAGTCTATAACTCGTCTGATCTTTTGTTTCAGAGTAGGATCATATGCCATGGGCCTAGATGAAAATCTTCTGTCGGGCAAACAATAAAAATGTTTTTCTTTTTTATGCTATTGGCAGGGCACCTGAACTTCTATTGGGAGCAAGACAGTATTCAACAGCTATTGATATGTGGTCATTGGGTTGTATTATGGCTGAATTATTATCAAAGCAACCACTTTTTAATGGAAAAACCGAAGTTGACCAACTTGACAAGGTAAAATAATTCACAAGATTACATCAACTGCTCATTCTACTTGGTTGGGCGTTATGTAAATTTTGTTGTTAATATAATTGCTTGGATGCTTATGACCTTACCTTGGACTTTGCAGATATTCCGAACTCTAGGCACACCGAATGAAACAATTTGGCCTGGGTTTTCCAAGCTTCCAGGAGTAAGGGTCAACTTTGTCAAGCACCAGTAAGTATTGTTGATGTCACTGAATCCAAGTTTTACTATGACATTTCTCTTATCTTTTTCCCACTGTTTTCCCAGGCTTCCAGCTTTGGGTGATTCTGGTCTGGCTATCTGGCCTCATTTGGTGACCTTCCAGTTACTTTACTTTCATAGCACGTTTTAACCACTGACATGTTCCTTTCAGGTACAACTTGCTGCGTAAGAAATTCCCAGCCACATCGTTTACCGGTTCACCAGTTCTTTCCGATTCAGGATTTGATTTGTTGAACAAACTTTTAACTTATGATCCTGAGAAGGTAAGTATACGATCAACTCATATTGTTTCCCTCATCCACTTTCATGATCACTCATTGAGATTTGTTGTCCTAATGCAGAGAATTACAGCTGAGGCTGCTCTTAATCATGAATGGTTCTCTGAAGTTCCTCTTCCGAAGTCTAAAGAGTTCATGCCTACTTTTCCTGCTCAGCATGCTCAGGACAGGTACGTCAACAATTAGACTTATGAGTTTGTGGTTCAAATTCTATTGAAACTTATGGCACTTAATATAAACAATAAACACATTATTTTGCAAACCTTGCCTAGGCGTTTGCGGAGAGTAATGAAGAGTCCCGACCCCTTAGAAGAGCAACGCAGAAAGGAGTTGCAGCAAGGGGAACTGGGAACATCTGGCTTGTTTGGCTAAGAGAAGCTGTCTCTGGTAATTTGGGTGAGGTTGCCCTGAAGTTATTTCTTCAATAACACTCACTATTGGACCTGATTGAGGTGAGGGAAGAAGGCTGTGAATCTTGTTTGACAGATGATTACTAGTGCTCTTTTAGCAGGGCATTAATGGTTATTTGGTTGAAGACATGTATTTTTCTTTTTTGGCTTCTGTCAAGAAGGTCTATTGCAGCTCGACATCTTTTCTTCTCCTCTGGTCATCATATAGAAAATGCTTCAGTGACACGGCTTGCACGGCAAGGTGTGGAATATTGTTTACTTGAAAATCAGATTCTTCAGAAATTAATTGTGTAACATATTCCTATTGAGAATTAGGCTATTGGCCTTCAATTTTATTTTAAGAATTAGATTACCATGGATTTACTACTGCCTACATAATTCAAATATATCTCCTTTTAATATTTGAATTGTGTTTGCAAGAGGTGGTTGTTGGAAGGGGAGGGCGGTCTTTGCTTCTCGTTGACGAAGAATATGACCGTAACGATAGTTTTTCAAAGGTAATTAATTAATTGCAAAAGCATTTCAGGATCAGGATTATGTTTCGAAGCTTTTTATATCATTATCCTGTTGTGTGCATGTGCTATGGAAATTCATCTCAAGTGATGGTCATATTCACTACCGTGCTTAGCCTAAATAGTTGGGTTTGCCGGGTAGGATTCTATTTTTAAGCCTGTTTTTGTTTATTTTTTTTCCCATAATTTTCAAATTGTTCTAAGTTCTATCAGATGGTGCATTTAGATATTTTCATTTAAAATATTAGCTGGACGATTGATTTTCTTGCAACAAGTTTTTTTCTGGGTTCTATAGTTTGGACGGTTGATGGTTTTACATGAAAGTGAGAAATGGAGCCCATTTTTAATATGGGGAGCTAACTTCTTATATTTAGTGCTTGTTGTTGGTGATTTAAGTGACTATTTCTTTTGGATATGTTAAGTTCCGATCACTGCTGGCACTGATGGACGCAAATTTCATCATCAAAAGAACTCATTGGGATCATGTACATATCTTTGGCACCAATCTTCCCAATCACGTTCCTGCCTCCAAATTGTTGACCCAGGCTTCCAGTAATTATCACCGAAATTTCTAACAGTTAGATTTAAAGAAAAGATCATAAAAATGACTCATGTGGATAAACAGCTCGATTTATGCAGCTAAAGGTCTATATCCATAATGAGGTAATTTATCTGTGGTTGCAGGGACGAGAATATACATTTCATAGTATTTTATATAATCTCATTTTGTACTTTTGATCTAGAATTGGTTTTTTGTTTTATCTGTTGCATTCTGCCTCCTGATGTAATTTCGTACACATGGGTACAAGGAGTTTCAAAATTTCTGTTTTTGCCGTTGAAAGAAGTAGTATGCCTTAGTTTATTGTTCAAAAGTAACAGCACTCTCCGGAGGAATGTGTAAAATGGATTGGCTTTCATCCATTAATGTTCTCTTTTAGTTAGTGTGAAAAGATTCAATCTTTGTCAGTACCATGATTTTCATGACCTTTATCTGCAAATGTCACTGCAGTATCAAAGCTAGCAGGTTGAGGAGCTCACCTGCATTACTCTGGAAGTTATTAACTTAGTTGTTGATTCGCACACTTGAGGTACTATATGCAAACCTTGTTTTTGTTTGCATTTTATTTAAAGTTACTAAATATTTGCTCGATAGCTTTCTTCTTGGAAGTGCTGTTTGGAAGTGGCTATTTCGCTCTGTTGTTATACTGAAAAGTATGGTTACCAAGACTTAGCTGACTATTCTGTTTAATCTTACTATCAAGATCGACTGAGATTGAGCAAGAATCTTCTAACAACTAGCTGTTAGCGTCAATCATATTATGTGACTGGTCTCCTGATAGAATGTATTTTGCGTACTTTGAATCTAAGATTGTCTCTGGGTGGTTTTCTTTCCTGTGTTAAATGTCAATTGTGCGCTGATTCAGTGTTGAGTTATTGAGTGTGCAGTCTTCATTCATTGTTTAACTTCAGCATATTTTTGAAAAAGAAATGAAACTCTGCTATAATATATTGAGTTTGGCTTTACAGACCTGTCACTGGTGTAAGAAAGAAATAAATTTACTTTCTGTTGATGTCATGTAGCTGGGTAAAGCGAATTGTTTGTTATGGTGAAATGATTGTTTAATCAGATGCTCTATATAATAAGGGATTGATACCGATTTATTGCCAAATTGTTTGCTGTCATGCCATTTTGTGTCTTAATCCAATCATGATTGTTGATGTTATGCTATTGAATATAGTAGTAAAGAGTCTTCTCACGTGTTATTGCTGTAAAATCTCTCTATTCATTGTTTTTACTTCGTTGTTTCCAAATTCTAACACTTTCTTTCGCCTGAAAGGCGAACACGAAGGTGCTGTTTGGTCTTGGTGAATAATATCTGTAGACCGATCTCAAATGCATATGTTCGTGTTAAAAAAATGGTTCCCATTTTGTAATGGAAAGAGGTTTCTGAACACAGGATTATGGGATCTTTTATCTTCGTCATGTTACATCTCTCTCAGTTGAGTAAAATTGATGTATTCGATTGGGTTCATGAATGATATTAATTCAATATACTCTTAACTGTTCTTATGAATGATTCTTCTGTTTATTTCTTTTTACCTCAAGGATCTAAAATTCTGCAAGTTAAAAGCTAATAAAGTCAAATCCTTTTTGGGATTATGATGATTAGTTAGTTGAAATACAATTGCTTGTTCTTAGAATACTTTTGGTGCTTTTATATTCTTTTTCTCAATCACTGAGAATGTATGGGTTCTTAAATGTGCATTTTTTAGAACACCTATGATAAATAATTACGGTTTTTAAAAAATTTGCCATTAATATAGATTGCACCCTTTTAAAAATTGATAATAGTTGGAGCATAGACCTCGTTTTTTGAACGGATGAATTTTTTAAATATATGTAAATAAAAAAGTTTTCTATCAAATTTTTGTTTGAAAACAGACTATGAAAACTGAGCTATGATGACACTGTTTAAAGCTTTAAAAAATAGAAGATGCTTTTTTTCCCCTCTTTTTTCTTTGAAGGACCAGATGGTGTTTTAGCTTGACTTATTTGGTGCCTGTTTAAACAATGGGAACGAATAACCTTTTTCTGAAAACAAAATTGATAATAAATGATGCTAAAAGTCTGGATTGATGTCATGTTTTTAAACAAGTGATGTTTTTTTAATTGGAATAAGTCAAAAAATCAAATGGAGCAAAAGAATAAATAACATTTCAAAATTAAAAATTTCAATGAAAATCAAATCAAAGTTATAATTGAAACATTAAAGTCACAAATTAGATAGATATAACTAAAATTTAGAGTATTATACATAGATAATCAAGTTTACATATTTATTTTCTTAAAAAGAGTGCAACTGTAGTGCATACTTCTACCCAAGAACCTGTCTTTAGTCGCTAGTAGATAATTAAATTATCATCACGGTTACAAATGTACTCAAAATTAGTACGGGATCATCGTAATAAATTGAAATAACTAAGATCAGAGATGTAGAACTGGGAAGTTGATCTTGATATCAATGATTTTTGGTGCATTTTGTGTGCTTAAAAGACCATTGTAGTATGTTTACCTTGGCTTTTGATCTCCATTTGTCTTCATGGCTTTGCAGCAAGGGAAATCAGAGAATCCTTAGCTTACCATATTACCTCCCACCTGAAAAATTCAAAACCAAGAAACATTTATCTTCTAACCAAGGAGGCACAGGGAAGCAGAGTTGTGAGAGCCGGGGATCCTCTTTTCCCTTTTCCTTTTCTTTTTCTTCAATCTACAAATATAATAATAAACTAAGAATCTCTGAAGTGGTAAAAGAGCTACAGTTCTGAAATTCTGGAGGGGGGAAATTTATAATCAATTAAAATTCTCTCTCGAGTGGTGAAAAGACTATATTCTGAATTCTGGACGAAGCAACTAGCAAGCACCAAAAATAGACACAACTGTGCGGCTGAACAGAAGAACCCAGAGCATAAATCTTCATATCTTGTCAGATAGAAATGCTGTTGGGGATTCCGCGACCAGTAACCCCTGGACCAGATGTGGGGAGCAGTAGCTCATAAGGAGGAACACCTGCACCACTTCTGTTTTTAAGACGGCCATCCCTGTTCCTACTGTTTATAATCTCTTCTATCTCCTCTAATCTTGATGAGAACTTGTTAAACAATTCCAACACCCTTGTATCGTCGATCCAGTGGCTATGTAATTGGTTCACTTGACCCAAGTACTCCTCGTCCGGCGAGTGAGTGGACAACGTGTCCTGAACTGCCATCACTTTAGTTGCTTGAAGTTGCGTTGGCAAAGAAGATAGAAATGTTCGTTCAGGGTTTGCAATAAAGTTGTCATAATCGCGATCACCCTCCTTTGGTATGAGCTTCCGCATTAGCGTCGGACGATTTGGTACATAACTTCCAAAAGGGTACTGCCCAAAGTTTATTGCAGCATGCTGTCCAGATGCGACCCAAATCATTATTGTGAGTATGCCAGATAGGTCCTCTTTAGTATTGAGTTTAGGCCACCAAGGTTCATTTCGTTTCTCGTGATGCCCTTTGTTCTTTATCTCACTCCACCAAGCTTGGAGCTCATCGTCGTTTGTGATGGAGTTTGGCTCTGTATAAAAGTGTTCAACATAGGATTCTACCCATTCTTTTGTCGCCGACCATATTAGGAGCCCATCTGCTGCATATGGGTAATCTTCAATTACAAGTCTCACACCATTTGGCGCGGAGGGGTCCTCAACTGCCATACCCCTAAAAGTTTCAAGGCCAGCTTAAATTATTCAATGCCTTAAAAGAAACCATATAGAAATAAAGAAGAGACAGATGATAGAATCAATCTGGCCAATCGAGTTTTGTTGGGATTGTGGGTGCAGAGGGGACAGATGTCATGCTCATGGTTGTGAAGATCACTGTATGTATTACCATTAGATTACCTTCGAATAAGATCTGCTGGTAATGCTTCCATGTCAAATCGCCACATGCTCTTGTATGCTGCAGAGCTTAGCTCCATGGAATACTTTCCCCCAAGGAAACTGGCTTCGATTATTCCCCCTCCATTTATAAGATTTTGACGGGCAAGTGCATTGATTTCCAATGTGTAGCGCATATGAGGATGAAGCAGCTTGTAAATAGGGTGCATCGAACTCAGTTGCCTATGAGTTGCAATTATATAGGGCTCCATACTGGCGTGAGTCCTTAACCTGGATGAAGTAGACAGAAACTCGTTAAAATAATATACACTTCTCCCGCAATGTCACTGTAGATGAAGTTCGTAATCACAACTTGCAGTATATGGTTCGGATGTAGATATGAACAACAAATGCCTATACCAGTGATTTACAAGTTGATGGATTCCAGCATCTACGGAGCACACATGAGCTTTTGCTAGCTTCCAAATCCAATGTGTTGTAGCATCATGGCCATGAGTGTACACTTGTTTGTTGGTTTCTGAAGAAGGTGTTGGAGGCAGTGAGAGCTCAATAGCTATAGGCCTCAAGATACCAGTCTGGGAATAGAAGAACACTGTTCTAGAAGCATAGACTTTTCTCCCTGGTAATGAGTTGATCTTCTTGATAAATGGTAAAAGCATGTCATGGTAATCAATAATAAATAATCGTTTTTCTTCTATGGCCTGCATTGAAGGATATAGGAAGGTTACAATTATGATGGAGAAAACTGTTTTTTGGTTTTAGAATGCAGATATCAATACCTGTTCTATACTCATACCGCTGTAAAGCTCTTTCTCTATCAATTCTTTTGTAATGGCTGATTCTGGAGGCCCATATACAGTAGGGTCAAGTTTGCTGCGGATCGGAAATTCCTAAGATATACACCTCATAATCAATAACTTACAAAATGCATTTCTCAATATAAAATCAATATGTAGACAGACAGCATGAGAATATTGCTCATACCCTCAAACACTCAATATTTACTGGGTTGACACCAGCCAAAGTCTGACGTGCAAACTCGTTGTCCCTCAGCCAAGCAAATCTATCGCCTGCAAGTTGAAAGGGAACCCAAAATAAAATTTCAGAGGAGCTTTTCCATCTCTAGATATTAAACTGAAAGAAGTTGAAAATCTAATTGGAAAGTATCAATAATTTCAAGAGTGCCGTCGACAAAACAAATATGAGAAAATAGAATGTACTTTTTATCCCAGCAGGGATCTCATACTTCAACAATGTCTGACCAGCGTTAACGACCTGCTTCATAATGTTGCCAAGAAACCAGTTTTGAGAGTGCTCTTGGTGGTTTTCATCGTTCAAGACAACACCATCAATGTACAGCTTGTCAATTTCTGAAAAACACTTGAAGGAGATATCTGATTTTGACAGTGTAGCAGCAATAGATGGTACAAGATTGTGGAGAAGAGCCTTCAACCTTCCGGCAGAGAATGTACTTTTCTTCATCTCCTCAAAAGTTTCGTCCCGAGGAACATAAACTGGATGTGGCTTTTCAATTCTACTCTCAGTAAGCGGATCTATTAGAATTCCAATTAAAGAAAAATACACATTTCACATTCTGCAGTTAGAAAAAGAAGATCCAGAACCTGATATTTGCATACTCATAAACTCAAAAAAATCAACCATACCTGATACACTAGGAGGTCGACCAGTCCTACAGCGTCGAGGATAAGGCGTATTTTCAACACCTAGAACAGGCCTAGCAAGATCTTTACTCTTGTCAGGATTACCCAAATCGTTGTAAACATCATAGTCATAGATTCTATCGTACGGCTTCCTTTCACCCTTTCCATTGCCCCGAATGTTTAACAAATCTTCACGGCGAAGACCTTGAAGGCCCAGCGGCGTTTGTGATGGCAAGTATACCTGTTGAACAGCATTATACTTCAATTAGCAACTTCAACAAGATGAAAAACTAGAAAATATTGATAATCGAAAGAAAACATTGAGTCGTACATGATTTTTGAAGATAATTCTACTGTCCGGATTATCATTTCGTGAATGAATCCAGGTATTCGCCGGAAAGAAAATGGGGCCGACATCAAAACCATGAACGATAACTTCCAAGAGATAGAACTCTTTTCCATGAAGATTGGTGATAAGAACAGCCCCAGGACAGCCGAAATCACGCGGCACAGTAAAATTAGCAGCGTATTCCACAGTGTGCAAACCGTTGAGAGGTTTTGGCAACCATCCTCTCACACAAGACTCCATACTTCTTCCCGAATTGGTTTCTTCCAGAGAAAAACAATCAGAAAAATAAAATAAAAAATTGAGGACACTGTCGATAAAGTTCGCATATGAAACCCACTCGTGGCGCCAAAATGCGGGAAGAGTAACTAACAGCATAACCTTCCATCCTCTCTCTCCTCCTGCTCCGACTTTTGCTTTAAATATTATTTTCGCCCCTCAAATTTTGTATATCTATATTTTAGACTGTTTTATTTTACTTTTCCAACTTTTCACAAAAAGTTGATTACGGCCTTTTTCATGATATTTTTGGTATAGTATATTAGTATTTAACATACATTGTAGATCATCACTTTTTTTAATTTAATATATATGATTTTAAAATATAAAATATTATTTTAGTTAGTTTTTGTTTATTTTCGTTACTATATTTTCAAAAGGTTAATTTGGCTTCCCATATTTTTAAAGAGGTGAATATTTTTGTCCTCCCATTTTTATCTTTATTACATTTCTCTCTATAAAATTTTAACTCGTAATTTTATTAATTAATTTTTAAAATATAATATTAACTTGAATTAAAGGGTTTCCTAATATGAAATTTTGTAAAAAGAACTAAATTAGTAACTTTTAAAAGTATCCAAGCCAAATTAATACTTAAACCCATAAAATATATATCCAGTAAAAATCAAAATAGATTTGTGTGCCAGGTAAAGAAACCAAAATGTAAAAGTAAAAATTTCGAGCAAAATTTCAGAAACAATAATAAGATATAAATTTAATTTTCTTTGGGCAAGTTTCTTTTTTCAATTTTTTTTATACGTATTGTGAATCAAAATATTAGCAAAGTTATAAGTTTATTATATATATTATATACAAATTGTGATGTTGAAATAATCCGAACATTTTATGAGTAATATTACTATATTAGCCACTAGAGAAAAAAATTATTAAAAAAAACTACAAAACCTAGAGAAGAATCAAGAAGTGAAAAGACTCAATAGGATGAGCACAAACCAGGATCGATTTCTTCACTGATAAGGCGAATCCATATCCCTCGCCCAATCCCGTTGATAAAATACTCCCACTCATCTTCGATCTTCTCCGTCAACTTCTCCTTCATCTTCTTTCTGATCTTTATTGTCGCCCGAACTTCGATTCCTCCGGAAGAAGACGAAGAGAGCCCGGACTCATTGCCAGCTCTTCTTTCCGGCGGAGAAGCTTCCTCCACGGCCTTGTTCTCACTGCTGATCGCCGCCCGAGCCAGTCCATTTCCGCCGACCAAAGATCCAGATCGCGAAACCCTAGCCTTCCGGACTCTGAAATTACTCCCGGCGCGGGAGATCGTGAAGAATCGCCAGCTGGATGACTCGAAGTAGTGCCTCTGTAAGTTCAGAGAACTGCTCGGCGTGACTGCGAACATTTTTCTTCTCTCAGAGGAAGTGTGCGGAGAGTTGGCAACGGAGTCTTGGGGGGGAAGACGGCGGCGTGACGGCGACCGGCGAGGAAAATGGAGAAGAAAGTGGGAGTGGTGAGATCAGTGCAAAACAGAATAGAAATGCATTATGGTTGACGCCTGGTTTGTAAAGCGTGCCTGTTGCCAGTACCTGTGGCTGTCTGTCACCCAAGGAGAGCGTGACAGCGTGTCTTCACGTCTAATAATTTCGCAAACCTCACCAATGGATCCCTGTTTTTCCAGCGCGTGCAGCTCACGTTTGGAAAGCTCGAAGTGAATAAACTTTTTTCCTTCATATTTAAAAATGGAGGCAATTAGAAAAATATCTTAAAATAAATATGTAGTTTTTTTTTTCCTATAGAAAAATAAATATGTAGTTATACTTATCACAATTGATTTAAAATTTTACAAAAAATGTCGTATTCTGTACTTCGGCCCAAAGAAGCTCGATCTCATATTTAATTAAAGCCCCCAACTTCTAAACTAATTACATATATGCCACCCAATCAAATTACTTTTAACTATGCACAGAGCGAACAGCCCAACAGTAATTGACATTTCATTCTCCACCTCCAGCTAAAAAAGAACTTTCGGGTATTTTCATTTTCTATTTGCATTGAGTATTTTCGTTATCTCTCATTTTAATCAAGAATTTTTCATAGCCCTCCAATGATCGGTAAAGAAGAAATACGAACGAAAACCAAAAGAAAATTGATCAAAGAAGAAGACGAAGAAGTCGTCGATCGTGAGCTGCAAGAAATAACGCTGGAATTTATCTTAATATTATGAAGGGTAAATTGACCTTTGGAAACACGTAAGATTGACTAAAATTTACTTTTATGGCATTTTTGAAAACTAACGATATTTTAATAAATACACATTTATTTTGACATTTAATACATTTTCAATTAAAATTTAAGAAAATTGTAGTGGGAAGAAAAAATGTATTTTGAATTTACTTTTATGGCATTTTTGAAAACTAAGGATATTTTAATAAATACACATTTATTTTGACATTTAATACATTTTCGATTAAAATTTAAGAAAATTGTAGTGGGAAGAAAAAATGTATTTCAAAATGTGACATATTTTTTAAAATTTTCAAATATAACACAAATTTTCACTTATATCAATAATAAATCAAATACTCATATTACAAATATATCATATACTCATATTAGTAGTATATCACATACATATTACAAATATATCATACACTCATATTAGTAATATATCAAATATATATCATATACATGTATCAATAGTCAAATATATTACAAATGTATATCATTTGGGTGAAATTATCATTTTAAAATTGGACCTCCGTTTGAAAAAAAAAATTATTTGAAAATTTTAAATGTAGTTGCTATTTGGCTAATTTTACTAAATATTTTTACCATATTTACAGTTGTTCTAAAATTTATATATAATAATAAAAATAATAACTCGTACATAATATAGATAAAAATAGTAAAACATCAAACTTTTGTTAAATCCATTAATGCACATTCTGTGGTAAATTTTTAATCTAAAGTTTAATAACATGATTGGAATGAGTAGGATTGAAAATAAAAAAAAAAAAAAAATTAAACATCAATAAGCTGTAAGTTGTTCTCTTCTTATCTATGATATAATATTTTAATAAACCTACGTTACAACTTCTTTTATTTAATAAAAAGTTAGATCAAATCCCTAAAATAATTCAACAAAAGGATAGCAACAATCAACAACGTGAATTTGTCGTTTCTATGTAAATTAATGAACGAAGGATTCCATCAGAAGGCAGAGGATGCATTTCAAAGTTTCATCTGAGTCTACATCACCACATAATAAACAACTTCGCTGCTCTATATTTGTGTTTTTAATAACTTCTGCCACCAACTCCTCCATCATTCCACCAATAATAACAAAGTGTGACCAAATGCATATTTTAATGCCGAACGTTGAGAGACATCAGCATTCAGACCAACTGAAAGCAAGTAATTTCTACAGTACAATGGATCTTCCCAACCATCTCAGAAAGCAAATATTTGGCTCCAAGAAATGTCTGAATTTATATCATCTATTTGAATAGAATACAGCCTAAATTTTAAGTCGTTATAGTTTGAATTTTTCACATAGCCTACAACAAACTTGTATCCTAATTCACGAATCGGACAACTCTTAAACTTTAATGCCAAATTCAAATACAAGTTATTGAAAAGATGGAGACTATTTTGTAGGTCGGAAGACAAACCTGCATCATGCATTGTAGACAATACTCGCCGACATTCTCCGGCCTACAAAAGTAAAAACCATGAAGAAAGCAGCAAATAGTAAAACAAAACGCCGCTCAGGAAATATTGGCATTTCCGACCGTCGACCTGCTGCAATGATTCTAACCCACATGCTTTCAAATGTAATGTTATCCAAAGATAGATAATTCGGAGGGTATAATAGGAGTAAAGAACCGAGACCATTGCCATTTTTCCATGTGGCTAAAGTGGCATTTTGATTTTGCCTTATTCTGAAAGTATCACCTACTTGAGAATTTGAAATAAAGTAGGAAATTCAAGACGATGAAGAGTTCAGGCAAGACTAGAAAAGGAAGTAATTTTGTGAAAGTGGAACCGAAGTGGCGGGCGGGCAGGTAAGAACTTCGCCATCAGCTTTCACGGTGTATGTTTCGGGATCCACTTCGATGTGTGGAAGGGCATCATTCCACATCATGTCAAGTTTAGTAAGTTTCCTAACATTTCCTACTGCTTCAACTCTCTTTTTGAGTCCGTACATGGCTTTAACTCCAGCGTTAACTGCTGCCTGTGTGAGACAAAGTAACAGTTCAGGTTCAACAAATTCACTACTTACAGAGTAATAGAGAGCGTTTCAGAAAGAGAGTATGTGAGAACTGCCTTGCTGACGAAGGCAATTGAGTTGCCACTTCCAGCCTTCCCAAAGGATCCAAACATTGGCCTCATCAGTACCTGCAAAAAGCAATAGAGCCAGCAATTGTAGAAACGCCACAAAGGCTAAAGTGCTCCAATCATATGGAAAAACTCTAATAAACGATCAAAAGATTGTATCATTACTCTCACTTCTTCCTATAGGGGACATTTAGGTGGATTTGGGAAAAAAGATTGAAAAGGACAAACCTAAATTTTTTCTGGTTGTCCACTATAATTTTCTTCAGCTAATCGAATATCATAGTTTGGGACTTACGGAAATACTAGAAATTGAATGGAACTCACAAGGATTTGGTCACAGAACTAATGTTGGGGAATAAATTAATTTCCAGTTCAAAAATGATAAATTGCCTTCAACTGCAGTCGAGTAGTCAGAATCATAATATAAAAATCTAACTCAACGCTGAACTTCCTTACTATCACGTTTCCATTCTGTCACACAATTCATTCGTTGTGTCGGAGTGGCATAATTGAATTTACCGGTTCAGGAGTAGGAATGCTTGCATTTGGATCACCCATGTTCGCCCATGCAATTATACCACCTTTAATCACCATTTCAGGTTTTGCCCCAAAAAAGGCAGGCTTCCAAAGAACAAGATCAGCCAACTTTCCGACCTGTGGAACTGACTGGATAAATAAGATCATTCCACAAATTTAATGACCAAGAACAATGTCAAAACTTGACGAAAACTTGACAATCAAAAGATTTATGGTGTGTATATCTTTTAGTTTAAGTACTCTTTTTGCACTTATTTTTTTAATTAATCATCTCTGAAGCAATTTTAATCTCTTTCAAAACACTTTTTAGACAATCATCTCTAGAGTATTTTGTCAGAAATGATTTTTGAAGTAATACAATTTTTAAAAAATATTTTTTGTTTATTAACAAATACTTCAAAATTTTTTGAAAAGGACTTTAGTTATCCAAAAAAAAAAAAAAACTTAAAAGAAATCATACTAAATACACTCTAAATGAGTAATTATTATAAAAGTGCGGGTAGAAAAAATATTTTTATTTAAAAAACACTTTTCTCAAACATCATCCCAAACACACTATTATTGCACCTGCCTAAGGTTATCTCACTTTGTTTAATACGAGACACCGCAATTGTACCTTAGCGCTTGTTGAAATAGTGGACGAAACAATATAAATGGAGAACAAAATTGTTCAGGTTTCGTTGATATTAATGGTAATATCTAGCTCATCATGTAAAATCTAGTCAACTAAAAGAATCAAAACTACAATACCTCTACTGAACCAACATACTGAGAAAACCCGTTTGCTATGGCTGGATTTATGGTGTATTTGGATACATATCGCTTGATCCGAAAGTTGTCATTGTCTATCTCAGGCGATCTTTCCAACTTCATTTTGTGTGCAGTTTGCCAAGTTCTGCTAATCACCTAAACAAACGATACAATGAACTAAATTGCGGATCAGAATACTTCATCCTTCAGTTAGGAACTACGATACAAATCATGAATTAAAAAACCAAACAACAAATTTCTCATAATTAGTGAATCAGTTGCCATCCCTCAGATGAATGCTCTCCTGTACCAACTTCCCAGTTCCCAGAGCCTCCAGTGGCACAGCCGAGATAGCAATAGTAAAGCTGACATCGTGATTACCATGAACCAACATTATGAGTTACATATCTGTGAGGGCTTCTCCGCGCTAACATGATAATTTCTCTACTTAGATACAAAATTTACTGTTCTTTATTTAGGATTATAAACACTATACTGCCTCACAGTAAAATTTCAATAACCAACTCCCCTGTCCCAACGAAAATAAATTAGGATTGATGGAAACAGACGACAATAATATTTAAATGGAGACTGAACTACCTTCTATTGCCCTTATGGTATAATATGGAGAAAAAGAAAAGGATGCAGATGAATTAAGAACCTCTCCTATGCGACCCATAGCCTGTGAATCAGAAGATATGATACTGATTGCCCCCAAATCATGCAAGATATCTTCTGCAGCAATTGTTTCCTTCCTAATTCTTGATTCAGCAAAAGCTACGTCTTCTTTAATATTGCGATCAAGATGATGGCACACCATCTGTAAGAAATAAAACCGAAATTCAATCTTCTTCCTTCCATTTTTTCTTTTGAGTTATGCAGTGCAAAAAGAACTCAGCAAGTAGAAACTGCGGTGGGAAACTCAGATTAGAAAGATAGTGTTCACCACAGAAACTAATCTCATTTCTTTTTTTATACCAGCATGTCAAGATGTTCATCTACAGTGTTTGACGTAAATGGTCGTGTAGGATTAGTTGATGAAGGCAGCACATTTTTCACACCACACACTCGAATGATATCAGGAGCATGACCACCTCCAGCTCCTTCACTGCCCAAACAATACAAGGCAAAGCGTGAAAAAGGAGTAGTAGTTTCTAATAAAACAAAATTACGGCTAATATATAATTGTATATTCATCATTAAAGTCAAAGAAACTTCCTGACCAAAAAAAAAAACAAAGAAAGAAGCTTCTTTTTTACACTACAGAATATGTCAAGAGCAGGATGGACCTTTTACCTGTGGTATGTGTGTATAGTTCTTTCCTTAAAAGCCGCAATCGTTTGTTCCACAAATCCAGATTCATTCAAGGTGTCAGTGTGAATATTCACCTAATAAAATAAGAAAGGCGACAAGGCAGCTTCAATAACCATGATCCAAAACTTCTTCAAACTAATGGAAAGAAATTTTGGAAGACTGAGAAAGTACCTGAATATCATATTTTTCTGCCACAGTTAAACAACTGTCAATTGCAGCAGGAGTAGTTCCCCAGTCTTCATGTAGCTTCAATCCCATTGCTCCAGCCCTTACTATTTCATGTAGCTCATCTGGCTTTGAACTGTTCCCCTGGAACAATAAAGGTGTTGTACTCGAACTAGGTAAAATTCAGAAAAGGGTGAAATCAGCAAGCACCTAGCTGCTCCAAGTCCTCGTGATAGAGTGATTTAAATTACTTTCAAATTTTATTTTGACAATGCCAACGACCGTCTTTTCGACGGGTATGTACATACCAATATAGGAAAAAGAATTCACAAAACAAGCAATAAGTTTACTTACTTTTCCTGTAAACCCAAAATTCAAGGGGAGGTCATCAGTTGATTGCAGCATCATCCTCATCTGCACTGGGGATGGCGTGCAAGTAGTAGCACAAGTTCCTGCGGCAGGCCCAGTTCCACCTCCCACCAGTGTTGTGATGCCTAGTTAAATGCAGAGTCATGTACAAAAAGAAAAAAAACAGCGTTGGACATCAGAATGCTTTCGTTTTTTAAGTGTTGTATCAACTCCCATGTTTACTGTATATAGCTTAAAGTGAAAGATGATCTATGGGATTTTGAGATCAAATACAAATTTCTGAACCAAGATTTTTAAGAATGAATTATTATACTTTTCATTTCAAATACTACAGAATTCTAATTTCCAACCATCATGAAAACACAGAAAGCCAATGAAATCACACCATCAATTGATGACGCTGTCACCAATTGACATTAATCTAATCCTCTTTTGTCCATAATTGTTTAGCTTACCGCTTGATATTGCTTCATATGCCAGTTGAGGGCATATGAAGTGCACATGACAATCTATAGCCCCTGCAGTAACCAATAATCCTTCTCCAGCAATAACCTCAGTATTAGCCTGATCACATTGAAATGCAAGGAGTCAGCAGTATAAATATACCTCCAAAATCATGCTGAACCGAGACATATTTTACCCCAATAATCAGATCAGGACAAACACCATCCATGACATCAGGATTGCCAGCTTTTCCTAGGGTCATAATGAAGCCATCTTTGATACCAATATCTGCCTTGAAAATTCCGGTATAATCGATGATGACTGCATTGGTTATTACTGTATCAAGAGATAAAGCTGGTGGACACCCACAGGACTGGCCCATTCCCTCTCTAATAACCTTTCCACCTCCAAATACACACTCATCTCCATAAACAGAGAAATCATGTTCGATTTTAGCATATAAATCTGTATCACCAAGTCGAACTTTGTCACCAGTAGTAGGACCATACCGGTTCGCGTAGTCCTCACGAAAAATTTTGGTGGTGAATTCATCATCCCCTTCTCCTCCAGTGACACCTTCTCTGCAAAGTTACTTCTGTTATGAGGCTTCAATTTTCCGGGAAATACCTAATCACAGATTAAAAACAAGACAATAAGTACAAAATTGCAAATTAGATAGTTTAGACCTAGCATCATCTTCTTCTAAATGTCCAAAGCCTCTTGCATGCACAGCTTCCATCACTTCTTTCAATTTAGAATTGTCAACTGGGCCGTCAGCAATGCCATTTCCCCCTCTGATAACTTTGTTACCACCAACAGCTACAAGTGTGACACTTTTTCTATCCCCTGCCTACTAGGTAAAAGGAACAAATCAGCAAAGTGCCCAAAATGGCATATGTGGTAAGATTAGAGAGTTGGACATGCATCATCACACGTGCTTAAGCAACGGTCTTCTATCGTGTAATAATATCTCAGATAAAGGAAGGAGACAGATTAATTACACCTAACCATAGGTCATAGATTATAATGAATGAATGTAGAGATATATAAGTTCAAAGAAACATAAGTTAGACTGCTTTGGAAGCAAGAAATTGCAACATCTATGGATACAAGAGGACCAGCTAAAAAACAGTAATTCAACAATAATCTATAACTAAAAGCCCCCAATAAGGTTAAAAATTTCAACCTCAAATCGTATAGCTGATCCTGCTGGTATGTTGAGGCGCATGCCATAAGCTTTTGATCGATCAAAAACCAAGGAAGGATTCAACTCAATAAAGTGATAGTGGCTGCCAACCTAAGACAATATCAGTTGATTAAGAAATATCATTTATCTACTATTTTACTAAAAACTCCCCAGAAAAAAAAATATATATATTATTGCTTTAAAAAGTCAGTAACCTGCCATGCTCTGTATATGGATACAGAGGAAGCATATCCGAAACAAGCAAAACAAATGGAAAGCTATTTAAAATCAATTGATCACTTAAACTCAAAACTAGACAAACAGGCCAATAGAGACATTTGTCTGAGGCACTGTTTGCTCCAAGATATCAAGAGATACGCATGGCGTTTAGCATTTTAACTTGGAATCACACATATGTTCATCATCAAACCTAATACCCGGATATAGGGCATGATGCCAATATATAAGTTAGCCTCGATTGGACTACAATACATTGGAAAAAGGACATGAAGACACCTGAATTAGTCTGTCTCACAACTAAATTAGCAGCTGATTATTTCCATGAAATATGGTATAAGTTAGCCTTGACTAGTTTACGTTGAAAAAGTAAGAACACAGGAACACCTGAATGGGTCTGTCTCCCTTATTGACTACACTGAGTATTACAGCTTTCCGTCCAACATTAATCGCAATCTTATCAACTGGACAGATAATCTCACCAGGCACCGGATTATTTTCCATCAAAGGGAACTTTTCTAACGAAGGAACTGCAAAACAATTCTTTTGCATTAAAACCAACTGAGAGAAAATTCACTTTTCCATAAAGAAAACAACCTAAAACGTTAAGTATAAATAAAGTGCATGGACTGCTAACCCAAAGTTATACCCGCAAGCAGTTCTAGATAATACTTACAAGAAACAACACTCAAATTAGTAAAAACATTATATAACACTAAAAGGTTTACAAAGAGCATTTGAACCTTTCGATGACCTGTGCGAAGCAAAATCAAGGGTGTTGATAAAATGTCATGACATGATTCAAACTTAGTACCAATTTCTACTCATATTGTTTGTGATAAAAGCTGATAAATTAAATATACAGGAAGATAGAAAGGAAAAGAATTTCAAGATGGTCATAAAATTAAATTATTCTTTAGTTAGGAAGCAAGAGCAGAGATGTGTAGCAAGAAATCAGAAATCACGGGGATCTCTATTGAAGTCTTACGGAACCCCGAAAGTAGCATAACAAACCGTTGCCAAAAAAAAAAAGCGTAACAAATAAATCCTATAGAATGTAACACAAAACTTTGTGAAGGTGAGATCCACCTGGAAGAAAAGAACCGTCCAACGCTAGCTCCAGATTCCCATTTTCGTCATCAAAGGGCCTATGAACTGTGACTAACTTAGTCCCATCGGGAAAAGTTCCTTCAACCTATAATATCAATCTCTGGCATCATGCATGATTTTAAAGATTCTCGGGTATTTTTGCAGGTAACTGGGAACTTGAATTTATGGGGACTTCAAAATAATACTCGGCAGCACAATACCTGCACAAAATCCACAAGATGTGGAACAGCTGGAAGAACTTGTCTCCTGTCATGAAGAAAGTTAATGACAGGTTTGCAGTAGTCATTAATGCGTGGGTTGATATTAAAGCAATACAATATTATACATTCCCATAGGAACAAAATAAAAGAGTTTCATCAAACCTTCCTAAAAGTTTTCGCCCCAAGTCCATCAATTGTGCCACGCTCTGATCACCATTGCGAGCAAACTCCAAAATCTATGGGGAAAAACGTTAATCCCATTGGTCTCAACCTGAAACATGTATACACTAAAAAGAAAAGGAACAAAAACAGAGTCTAGGAATACTTCTAAGAATCCCTTTTGAATGTATCCTATCCAGTTCGGCAGAACCATAAAAGTATCTAACTAACCTGTGTGGCAATAAGTGCTACAGCTTCAGTGTAGTTCAGCCTCAAGCCACGAGCAAGACGCTTCTGCGCTAGATATCCCGCATTATGCAAACCTAGCTTGTCCACCTCCTTTGGAGTCAGCTTCATTCTTCCCGTCACTCGCGCAGCTCAAACTCCAAACCAGAACAGGCTAAAAAATCGTTAGCAGATAGCTCAACGATCAAAATTAATCCATATGAAGACCAATACATCGCGAATTAAGATTTTAAGAACCTACACTACAATAATATCGCAGAGAGTGAAATTTGGACACTTTTAGGGAAGAATACCTCCATAAATCGATGTTCAGTCCACATGAAACTCCATACACAGATTAGTTTCATTTCATATAAGCTTATTGGAATTGTGAACTTACCTTACGATGACAAATAACGTGGATCGGATCCCCGTCTTTCAAAAGCAGAGCTCCGGGATGGCGCTATCTTGCGAAGCACAAAAAGAATATGAAATTTGTGATTGCGAAGAGTGAGTACGTTGACTCGTCATGAAAGTGGAGCAAGACAAGTACAGAAACTGCATATTAAAAACCATTCGAATCCTTGGCGCTCCAATCCACCGCTATAATTGCTTTTCATTTGATGACCATTATAATTTCCATATCAATTGTAAAAGACATTAATAATTATCATATTGAAAAGCTCGAAATTCTCAATAATTTTTCATTAAAATTATCACTCCGTTGATTCGAATTTCACTCCCTCCAAAAAAAAAATCTTTTTACAATAGGTAAAATATAATTTTGTTGTTCCTCTGCTGACAAAATATCTAACTTGGTTGTTATACTTTCATTTTAGTTACTTTACCTTCATTATATTTTAGTCCAATATACTCTTAAGAAAAAGTGATCATTAAGATATATGTTTATAAAATTTTAACATAAATTTTATACATAATAACAATTCTTTAATATAAAATTATGACTACATTTTAATAAATATATTAAGTGTAATGTTGAGTTGAAATTGTAATAAAATAAATGAGTAAAGACAATCTCTTTCTAAAAACATATGAACCAAAATAAATGTCTCGAAAACATAAGAATACAATAACTAAAATGACACAAATTGAAATTATAATAACCAAAATAAAAAAATGGAATATAAGAACCAAAGTAGTATAGTAGATTAAAACATATAGAAAGAGATTTGTCTATATAAATTAAGTCCATTAGAGAGTTTGAATTAAAAAAAATATATATATTTAATGAGAGAGTTTGAATTAAAAAAAAAAATATTTAAAGTGTGCGAGATTTGTAAAGTTGAAACTGACAAGTTGAATGGTGACAAAAAAATGTTAATTTTCTAAATTGGAATTGGGAAGCCCGTGACCTAGGAATGGCGTGCCTGAGGGCTGAGTAACGACAACTTGAACCGAATGTGCATATTTAAATTAAGAATCATACCGGGACAATTGAAAATTTAATCATTTTGTTAACATCTTTGTACGGAGAGAGATGTTTAATTGGGATTTTGCTATATGTGTGTATAATACCGAGACAATTAAAAATTCAATCATTAAATACATCCATTTTTTGTTTATCAAAAGATTTGAACTTTTTATAACAGAAATAAACTTTGTTCCCATGTACCTAAGAGATAATAATTTTTAGTATTAAACTCACCATATTTAAATTTAAAATCCAAAAAACCTCGAATCCTTGTCAACATCGGTGTTAAATGCATCTAGATGAATCTGATATAAGTTGTGCACGACCACCGACCAACAAGAATGAAATAGAATAAATTATCATTATTGGCAAGTAGGAAGTAAGCACATGAATACTTCAGCTTAAAAGTTTTACTCTATACTTTTTTAAGAAACAATACTTATGGGATAATTTTTGATGAGCAGGATGCAAGGTTGTGGGAATCATAATGGTCAGCAGATAGAATTCGATTTGTCGTCCTCCTCCCGAGTCCTGCCATGCTTTTTTTTTTTCTAACGACTTTTTTGGTTACGTGTATGAACATTATTTTTTCATGTTATCAAAAAATAAATACGGACTGAAGAGGCGATGATTATTATTATTATTGAGAAACGGACAGGGAATTGAAGTCTAGAAAAGGAAGTAATTCCGAGAGAGTGGGAGAGTACGGGCGGGCGGGCAGGCAAGAATTCGGCCATCTATATTCACCTGGTATGTATCGGGATCCACGTGGATGTTTGGAAGGGCATCATTCCATTTCATATCAAGTTTAGTTAGTTTTCTAGTGTTCCCCACTGCTTCAACTCTCTTCTTCAGCCCGTACATCTCCTTCACTCCAGCGTTAAATGCAGCCTAAATTATTAAAAACAAACAATTTTTTTTTTATTTAAGCTATGAGGTGGAAGAATATTGAAAGATATATATAATCAATAATGCATGCCTTGCTGACGAACGCAATTGAGTTCCCACTTCCAGCCTTTCCCATGGAACCATACATTGGCCTCATCAGTACCTACCCAAAAAACAATTAATTAATTAAAACCAAAATGCCCAGTTTCTATAAGCTGGGCTGGGCTGGGCTGGGCTGGGCTGAATTTACCGGTTGAGGAGTAGGAATGGAAGCATTTGGATCGCCCATGTTGGCCCATGCAATTGTACCACCTTTAATCACTTTCTCTGGTTTTGCCCCAAAAAAAGCTGGCTTCCACACAACAAGATCCGCCAACTTCCCTATCTGTGGGAGTGGGACCCTCGTACACGTGTACACCATTTAAATAAAATCAAAATCATCAATTAAAAAAAGAAGAAGAGAATTTTGTACCTCTACCGAACCAACGTAGTGAGAAAACCCGTTTGCTATGGCGGGATTTATGGTATATTTGGATATGTATCGCTTGATCCGATGGTTGTCGTTGTCTGCCTTCCTCGGATCGAGCGGTTCTCTTTCCATTTCCATTTCCAACTTCATTTTGTGTGCAGTTTGCCACGTTCTGCTAATCACCTACCCAAACCCAAACACCTCATCCTTAAATCCTAATTCACTCAAATAAATTTAAAAAGGTAATTAATGCACTAAGATTAGGAAAATAAAACCTCTGCTACACGGCCCATGGCCTGTGAATCAGAAGATATGATACTAATTGCGCCCAAATCGTGTAAAACGTCTTCAGCAGCAATTGTTCCCTCCCTTATCCTCGATTCAGCAAAAGCTACATCTTCTTTAATATTGCGATCAAGATGATGGCAAACCATCTGTATACATCAAAATAAAACCAATTTCAATCTTCTTTTTTTTTCTCCTTTTTTTACTGTTCTTCAGCAACTACAAACTGCAGTGGGAAACTCAGATCACAAAGAATTTCATTTATTATACCAGCATGTCGAGATGTTCATCTATGGTATTAGACGTCAATGGTCGTGTAGGATTTGTTGATGAAGGCAGCACATTTTTTACACCGCACACTCGGATGATATCTGGAGCATGACCGCCTCCAGCTCCTTCACTGCCATGGAAATTCAAATTCAAACATTCGACCTTTTAAAAACGGTACCTTATGGTTAGGAGTAGGAGAGTAAGATGAACTGAAGCTGTTACCTGTGGTATGTGTGTATAGTTCTTCCTTTAAAAGCAGCAATGGTTTGTTCCACAAATCCAGATTCATTCAAGGTGTCGGTGTGAATATTCACCTAATCAAATCCAAAATGAAAACGGTCAGTTCAAATTTCAATAACCAAACTAAGAATTTAAAGCTTCTCCAAACTTCAAAATTCAAAGTTCAAACTGAAAGAGACAGTAGACAGTGCCTGAATGTCATATTTTTCTGCCACAGCTAAGCAATTGTCAATTGCAGCAGGAGTGGCTCCCCAATCTTCATGAAGCTTCAGCCCCATTGCTCCAGCCCTTATGATTTCATGTATCTCATCTGGCTCCGAACTGTTCCCCTGCAACACAAATTATTTTCATTTTTAAAAGGTAGTTGCATCATTATTATAATTTACAACTTCACAAATCAAGTAATAAATTTTACCTACCTTTCCTGTAAACCCAAAATTCACGGGAAGCTCATCAGTTGATTGCAGCATCATCTTCATCTGTACTGGGGATGGGGTGCAAGTAGTAGCACAACTTCCTTCTGCTGGCCCCGTTCCACCTCCCACCAATGTCGTAATGCCTAGTTAAATTCGAATTCGATTATTAAACTTTCCTGACCACCACTAAAAATTTCATTTCATCTAGCTTACCACTGGATATTGCTTCATATACCATTTGAGGGCATATGTAGTGCACATGACAATCTATAGCCCCTGCAGTAACAATCAATCCTTCTCCAGCAATAACCTCAGTATTAGCCTGATATCCCCATTGAAATAAAAAGGAGTCAGTAGAGTATAATCAAAAAGCACATTGCTGAATAAAATTTAAAATTGAGATGGATGTTAGTTTTACCCCAATAATCAGATTTGGGCAAACGCCATCCATAACATCCGGGTTCCCAGCTTTTCCCAGGGAAACAATGAACCCATCTTTGATACCAATGTCTGCCTTGAAAATTCCGCTATAATCGATGATCACTGCATTCGTTATTACAGTGTCGAGCGACAAAGCTGGTGGATGCCCGCAGGACTGCCCCATTCCATCTCTAATCACCTTCCCACCTCCAAATACACACTCATCACCATAAACACAGAAATCGTGTTCGATTTCAGCATATAAATCTGTATCGCCGAGTCGAACTTTGTCACCTGTAGTAGGACCATACCGGTTCCCATAATCCTCACGAGAAACTCTGGTGGTGAATTCTACCCAATCCTTATCCTCTCCAGTGAAGCCTTCCCTGCAGAAATCACTTCTAGTACAAGTCTTCTAATGCAGTAATCAAATATAACAAATTAGATAAAATTTAGAGGACCTAGCATTTTTCTCTTCCAAATGCTCAAATCCTCTTGCATGCACAGCTTCCATCACCTCCTTCAGCTTAGAATGATGAACTGGACCATCTGCGATGCCATTTCCCCCTCTGATAACTTGGTTACCACCAATAGCTACAAGTGTGACAGATCTCGTATCCCCTGGCTACTAGTCAAAAATAACAAATCACCAAACTCAAACGGAAACTAAGTTTAGTTTCATAACAATTTCGTTTGTAGTTTTCTATTTTTAAAAATTATGCTTGTTTAGGAAAAATTTCATTTGTAAGTTTTTCATCTCTTGAAAATTTTGAATTCTTAGTCAAATTTCAAAAACAAAACTACTTTTTGAAAACTACTAGATTAGAGGGGTGAGAGTAATGTTTTTAAACTTAATTTTGAAAAACAGAGAACCCAAAACGAAATGGTCATATAACCGGCTGGAAAGAAAAGTAAGAAATTTGAACCTCAAATCGTGTGGCTGATCCTGCTAATATGTTTAGGCGCATGCCATAAGCTTTCGATCGATCAAAAACCAAGGAAGGATTCGTTTCAATGAAGTGGTAGTGGCTGCCAACCTAACCTAACCCAAGACAAGATCAGTTGATTATTAAAGAAAGTTTTACTATTTTCCTAAAAGATCTCATTCTCGCCTGAATTGGTCTGTCTCCCTTATTGTTCACACGCAGTATTACAGCTTTCCGTCCAACATTAATTGCAATCTCTTCATCAACACACACAAACTCACCAGGCACTCGACTATTTTCCACCAAAGGGAACTTTTCTACCGAAGGTACTGCAAAACAAAACAATTCTTTTATTTTTTCCATTCAAACAAAACCAGATTTATAGAAAGAGCATTATATATATATATATATATATATATATCCACCTGGAAGAAAAGAGCCCCGCAAAGCTAGCTCCAGATCCCCATTTTCTGAATCAATGGGCTTATGAACGGTGATTAACTTAGTCCCATCGGGAAAAGTTGCTTCAACCTGGAAGTGGAATGTAACATCAATAATAATTAACTTCTTAGCTCTCACAGTATTTCATTTCAACCTCAAAAATCAAAATAATATAATACCTGCACGTAATCCAAAAGTTGTGGAACAACTGGAAGAACTTGTCTCCTGTCAAGTCATCAACAAATTAGTTAATCACAAGTTTCCCAAAAGAAGACTAAACAAAACATTCTCATCAAAGTACCTTCCTAACATTTTTCGCCCCAGATCCATCAATTGTGCCACGCTCTCATCGCCGTCGCGAACAAACTCCAAAATCTATGGAAAAACTAAAAGACAATAAACATATATGCCCCAAAAGTTTGCTTGAGCTGATCAACACTAATGCTATGTTAAATAAGCTAATGGGTTACAGAACCGAACCTGAGCGGCAATAAGTGCTACAGCTTCAGTGTAATTGAGGATCAAGCCTCGAGCAAGGCGCTTCTGTGCTAAAAATCCGGCATCATGCAGAACTAGTTTCTCCACCTCCCTTGGACTCAGCTTCATTCTTTTCGATCGTCACACAATGATCGAGATTATAGTTTCATATTTGTATTTATGTATATATGGATATGTACATATATAATGGAACTTTGTGATGGTGGACGTACAGGGCACGTGGCACCTGCTGCCCCATTGCATGCTGCATGCATAAGGGATGGTGGACGTGGAGGTGGAACAAAGATGTGCATTTCCCATTCTCACATCCCAAAATATCATTGAGCTCATCGCCCGTCGGAATTGGAAACGACAGAGCTCCAACTCTCAGACTCACCCCAATATCGGCTTAAAAGCCCAAGTATACACAATCAAATTAAATTTTCAATTTTACCCGCTGTATCAGTATATATCAATCACATGTTTGCATTAAAAAAAGAAAAAGAAAACTGTGAAATTTGTCAACAGATGGCTTCTGGATGACTGCCATTGAATCAGTTTGACATGTTTTGACACATAGGCACGTTAACAGACATCACATTTGGAAAAAATATAATAACTTTTAAGTACCATTCGAGTGGTAAAGGCATTTGTTGGGACGGAGTACACTCAAAATCTCATATCAATTAGACGAAGAGAAGATATGATATTTAAAAAATATGATGATTAAATCTTTGAAAAGTAATTCAATTATTTGTCCCTCAGCAACGAAAATTCTAAAGTAAAAAACTCAATTATTACATTTTCTTTAACATACAGACTGAATGGTATACAAGACTCAAAGTACAAGTTCCAACCTAATAGATATTTTTGGCTCTGATCGCCCGAAGTAACCGAGTGTATCACCAACCGTTCATGATCTCTCTTTCAGCCAGTTTCCATGGAGAGTTCTCAACTATGCACCTGGAAGTACGAAAGAATCCCTTAATCTTGTAATTAGTCTTTAAAAAAAATAAAAAATAAAAGATCACATACTTATTTGAAAGTCTATACTTGAAATATTTTTTTACAAATGTTTGTTCCCATTTCTAAACTCTGCAATATATATATATATGTGTATATATATATTTCATTAATAAGAAAACATCTAGTCTATCTACTACTGCTGCACGTAGCTTGAAATACTTGAAAACGTGTAAAACGTGTCAAGGTAAGATTTCTAAGAAATAATCTTTTATAACTATTAACCAAAATAAACAAGTTTGTATCAAAATAAGAATTCGAAGCTTAAAAATGAAGTTAATTTTCAATTTAACACTTGTCAAACTCATAATTCTTATTAAAAGAAATCGGTTTTTCTTAAAGGGAAAGGAAAAACTATATTTTAAAAATAGTTACCATTCATAGTATATTTGACAAATTTTCTCAGAGTCGGAAACAGATTGGGAAGCAAGGGAACTTACATCGTCAACTGCATGGAGCCTTCAATGAATCATAATGTCCGTAGCTGTGAAAAAGGACGCGGATAGCATTTTCTTTACCATACTCCTGCCCATACTCAGCTATGAGTTTAAGATTTGCCGTGTTCTTGTCCCACATGTAGACTGAGATTGGCATCCTTGAAAAAGAAAAACACAAAAACAGTGAACAATATCTCATGTTCTGTCTGCTCAACCTATCAGAAAACAGCATGGTTCGCCACACCAAAATATACCATATATTCAAAAAGTACAAAAACAAAGCATAACAGTCTCGATCTGGATTTATAAAGTCTAGGATAAAAAAATTTAAGTTGGAGTGTAATCTGTAGAGAATAGAGTTTGTGTAACCTATCTATGATCTGTGAGTTTATGATTCGTAAAAGTGCATAGTATAAAACATAAGATTAACATGCTCATGGTATGAGCAAACCTACATATTAAATATAAGTTCGATTTCTTAATTCCAAGTTAAACAAATCTAACTCGTGAGCTAATACTCTCATAATTGCTATTGATCATAGCAAGATTCCATGTATCTATAGCAACCTTTGGATAATTCAAGCAGTATGTTCTTTACAATTTCCATTTCACAGTATCCTTAGATTTTTAGTTTCAAATAATTGAAATCAACGGCATCTCGATAATCTAGCCACAGAATTAAGTAACCAGGGAAAGAAATACACACGGGAAAGATATGTTTTCAGGTTGAGTATTACTCGATGATCAAGTATGAAGTATTATATCACTGAGCAAACTGAATCAAGGATAATGGTTGAAGAGAGAGGTTACTGTAGGACATGTGAAGACATAAGTAACTCAGGTTCTCCTCCCCACACGTGTGGTTGGCGCATCCGTCTAACATACTGGCTGAAGTCACCTTCAATAAACCTGCCAATCAGCGAACACATGGTTGTTCTCTGATTTGGATATTATAGTTTAATTTAATTCAAGAATACAAAGAAGTTCAGCAGAGAAAAAGAGGTATGTAGCATATAGCCTCCACGGTAATCAGCGAATGGAAAATGAAATTAAAAGACAAAGCAGCTTTTTCTAGATCGTTACTTGCTCATTGATAAAACGCAAATGCACTAAAATATACAGAAACAGAACTGATAACAAAATACATAATTTGATACCACGATTGCATAAATAGCAACCATCTTGACTTTCAAAAAGTACACCACTGGATACTTATTGAATGGAATCTAATTCAATAAACTAGTGAATAATGGTTCAGTAATTAGTGAATCATACTTCATAAACTATCAAATCTCAACAAATAAAATATAACACAAATGATCCTGTTTTTTTTTTATGAAGTGTAGAAACTATAAAGATATCTCTTTCATCGAGAATCACAGAAATAATCAAAATGGTCAAATTGTTACTAATGCTATGCATTAATAGTTTCATATGTATTATTAATAAAATAGTCCTATGTTTACTGAGTTCGAGTATAATTCAAAATTTATTGAAAATTATTAAGTGATTGTTGTTGTCTTTGTAATTCTAGAAAATAGTTGTGACATATAAAAAGATTTGCATAAACCTTGCCATTGTTGAAACTAGCTCTGTAAGCTAAGAGTCCTCAATAAACTTTACCTTTCGGTGTCCAAACGCCTTTTCATCAACTCATTTGCAACCTGCTCAAACCATTCAAAAAAATATTGGTCAGATTGATGAGGGTGCACCGAAATGGGAAGGCAGTAATAGGAGAGACAAGCAAAACAAAATCAATCGGAAACTCGGGTAATTCTATTATTAATAGTGTAATATTCTAAAATAAAAACCCTTGTAAATGAATTAAGATCACACATTCTCTCTGAGATTGTCTGCGAGCTGTTTTTGGAGAACCTCGCTTGGAGCTGGCTTGCCCGATCTGAGACAAGCCCCATGAACCACTGATCGAAATAAACATCTTCCATCACCAGCTATGCCTATAGAGATAGACAACAAAAGGCACCATCTTACAATTAAATGTCATTTTTTAGTCATTCAGATGTGCAAAACTTCTTTTTTTTTTTTTTCTTTTTTTTTGGGATAAGCGATGTGCAGCTTTTGACAAAGTAAAATAAATTCAGACATCCACAAAGACAACCTCCTACTATTCAACTCCAAACTATGAAAAATAAATTATAGAAGAGTCGAACGAGTAACAGGATTACCCCGTCAACTGCAAAGCGAAAACAAAGAGTAGAAAAGAGAAAAAAGAACAAAAGAAAAACGTAGAAGAAGATAAATATATTTAACAAGTTACGAACATTTGGCATCCATTTTGAAAACTAACAATCTCCTATCACAGAAATTGAAAAGTACGTACACAGATTAGTAAGAAAAATCAACATGGTAATAATTCACAAACAGAAAACACAAGAAATAAAATCACAGAACGCCTCTTTAATTCATTAACAACGTGGAGCAGTAGAAATAGAGATCAAGTCTAGGAAACAAAACGGGGGAAGAGCAACCTGTAAAAGCTGGAAAATATGATAGTTACAAACGTTGCTTAAGTTGCAGGATCAGAAAGCTACTAAAACCTGTAAGCTTGAATCGATCATTTTCTATATCTCATGAGAAAATAAAATTCTAAAACCTGCACTCAACTCAATAAAGGAGAGGAAGATTGAAGAAACCAACATACGAATCTTTTGAAACTGATCCAGACTGTTACTAAGCGAACTTTCTGATGTTCGCATTACCGAACGTTAGGTTGGCAAGTACACGAAACCATACAAAATCACGCTTAAATGCCGTTGCTCCGATATACAGAGTATGAAATTGAAAAAGGAAGAATGGAAGATTGCCTGCAGAATGTGGAAACGATAAGAGAAGCCGCTCTCATGTTGCTATCGCAGAGAATCGAATTCGGTGCCTTCTCGTGGGCAGGTAGCTGTAAGGATGATTCTGATGGCTCTGTTTCGAACGAACTTTTTACCTTTACATTTCCCTCCATTCCGATTGAAAGATTCCCACGGTTGTGTGGATTCCAATTTCCACATTTCCGGAACACACGTGGATCGCTATGGAGTCGCTATAGTGGATCAGGATGGACGAACCACGCTCTGTTCCAATATGGGCTCACTTGAAGAGCCGATATAAGGCCCACTTGTTTCGCCCAAGCCCAATATGGAAGCGACACTTGCAGATTACCAATAAATACTGAATTTTCCTTTATTCTTTTTTACGTTGATTGACCCTTTAACAAAAAAAACAGAAAAGAAAAAAACAAGACACATTTTTATGGGACCTTTTTTTTTCTTATTTTTAAAATATGTTTATTTTGGAACTTATATTTTAACATTTCAATTTTTATTTATTAAAATTAAAATCGTGTATTGAAATACGATTTCGCTGTGTGGCATAAAACACGATTTCAACCACATAGTGAAATAATGTCTTGAAGTCACCATTTATGTGCTACATGGCAAAATCGTATTTTAAGTTTAACAAATAAATGTTTAAAAAAAAACACAAAAAGTTTAACAAATAAAAACTGAAATATTAAAAAATAAATTTATAAAAATAATAGTTTACCTTTTATGTTCAATTCAAATTAATTGATTTTGACTATAAACTTCCAATTCGACCATACATCTTTTTTTTTTTTTAATTTAAGTTTTGAACCGTAAATTTGAGTAAGGAATAAAATTAAAATTTCTTTAATATAAAATTATAAAATTACATATTAATAAACTAATAGATTACATAAAATTCAATTAACAACAACATTGAAGATTAAGCCACGAAAATGTAAAAACCCAACCATCAAATATTTTAACATGACCACAAAAATGTGTAGATAAATAAGAAAAGAAAATCCTAAAGAATATCTAAAATGTCTAACCTAACCAACAGAATTGATACCCACATAGTTTTATCTGCAAATACACAAAAAGTTATATTAATCTATAGTATTAAATTTGTATTTTTTTTTAAATTAAATTTGTAATCTATTCCTACCATAAACTTAATTAAAAAATGATTTCAACATGAATATATCTCGGCGATTAAACCACGAAGTTGAATGAACGAAATTTGAACAAAATTAACTAGGTAAGTATTAAAAAATTAATGATTTTTTAAAGATAGATGTAAAATGTTATATTACAAGTTTGCTCCATATCTAATTTTCATACATTAAAAATTTTATAATATATTTCTAAACTTTAAATGTGTATAATAAAAATGAGCCTAACTAAGTGTTTAGTAATGCAAGTGTCAAATACACGTTAGACACAAAATTAAAAATATAAATCCTATTAAACTTTTTTCACAATCATAAAAAAAGTAAATAAACACAGTTACAATAGCTTATTTCTCTAAATAATTACAGAAGCATAATTTTGACGGTTTATAAAGTTAACACACATCTTGCAAATTCGGTTAATAGAATAATTTAAATCTCTTTTGGTTTTGGAATAATTGATATGATTTACTAAAACATAATAATTTATATAATGCACTAGTTCAGGCAGACACTTGTGTAAGAAGATTGATCAATTTACAACCTTGCCATTTGACTTTGTCAGTCAAACCAAGCTATTTCGTCATTCGTCAAGCCCCGCCAATGCTTGTTAGAGAAGATTCGCCTTCTCGCCAAACGTCGCCGTTTGATTGTGTCAAACATCAAAGCTGCAGCTTCCACTGCAAGTAAAAAAAATCCCATCTTCCTTGGCTTATAAAAACGCCGACAAAAAACCAAATTCGCACCAAAATATCAAAACCACCATTACCAACCAAAGTAGAAAAAAGAAATTCACGAGAATGCCTTCGACAACCTCTGTTTTCTCAGCTTACACTAGCATCGCCGCTTCAGCCATGGTGGCTCGGGCAATGATCAGTGAAACCAACACAATTCTCTGCCAAATTATCCCCCAAAAACTCCGTCAGGAAATTTCCTTCAAATTCAACGCCATGTTCGGACCTCTCTCTTCTCACATGACTCTCATCATCGACGAGAACAACGGAGTCGCCATTAACGAGCTTTACAGAGCTTCCGAAACCTATCTCACTACAAAAATTCCCACATCGCTGAAGCACCTCAAAGCCTCCAAATCCCCGGGCGAGAACAATTTATCTTTCAAAATCAACAAAGGCGATAATTTAACCGACGAATTCGAAGGAATTGAAGTCACATGGGAGTTAATTTCCACAGAAAAACAGAGCACGTATTTCGATTTCGACAGCTATTCTCAAACATCCGAAACAATCGAAAAACGGCACTACCGAATGAGCTTCCATAAGAAACACAGGGATTTGGTGATGAACATTTACCTTCCGTACATTCTGAAGAGAGCAAAAGCCATAGAGGAGGAAAACAGAGCGGTGAAAATTCACGCCTTAATGGGAGGCTATGGGAATGGGGATTCGATTGTTTTGCAGAGTACGTGCTGTTTTGAGAAATTGGCTATGGATCCGAAGAAGAAGAAGGATGTGATGGATGATTTGGAGAGATTTGTGAGGAGGAGGGATTTTTATCGGAGGATTGGGAAGGCGTGGAAAAGAGGGTATCTTCTGTACGGCCCACCGGGGACTGGGAAATCGAGCTTGGTGGCGGCCATGGCGGATTATCTGAAGTTCAATATATATGACTTGGAGCTTACGAGCGTGCAGAGCAACTCGGCGTTGAGGACGATGCTGTTGTCTACTACTGATCGGTCGATTATTGTGATTGAAGATATTGATTGTAGTGCTGAGCTTGAGGATCGCAACAATGGCGGATATGGGGGTGCCGGTGACACCAAGGTTTGACTTCTTTCCTCTTAAACAATATAAATAAAAATGTTAGTCAAATTACAAATTTAGTTTCAATTAATGCCAAAATTACTTGTCGTTAAATTTGTTTTCCAATTTTCTTTTTGCCAGATTTACTTGTTTCAAGATCATTCTATTAATATTTCTCCAAGTTTGTTCCTTTGTTTCTAATAGAATAAATATTCAATTTTCCCCTAAAACGTAAAAAGTGGCTGCCAAGTGTTTTAACCTATTAAATATTTTTTTAAGCAATAAACTTATAATTAAGCCATCTGTTCTGTTTCTGTATTTGCAGTTGACTTTGTCTGGAGTTCTAAACGCCATTGATGGGTTATGGTCAAGCTGCGGGGACGCGAGGATTATAGTTTTCACGACGAATCATAGGGAGAAGCTGGACCCAGCGTTGTTAAGGCCGGGGCGAATGGATATGCACATCCACATGACTTATTTGACCCCGTCTGGATTTCAGATTCTTGCCTCAAACTATTTGCAGATCAAAAACCATGATCGATTTAGAGAAATCGAAGAGCTGATAATGGAGGTGGAGGTCACGCCGGCAGAAATTGCAGAGGAGCTCATGAAAAGCGACGATGCTGACGTGGCCCTTGGAGCAGTCGTGGAATTCATCAACGGCAAGAAGAGGAAGAAGATGGAGAAGGAATTATGTAATTCTGAATTGATAAAAAACGACGAACAGAGCCTTCGAAATATTGAGGAAGAAGATCAGAATGTAAAAAAGAGAAACAAAAGAAGACGCACCAGATGGGGGCGGAAAAAATGAAGCAGCCTCCTCTTTTTACACCTACCATTAATTAGGGAGTTTCGTGGGTTGGGATGGTAAATTTATTTAATTTAAATAATTTTTATTAAATAATAAACTCAATCCAACAAATATTCGAGTTATTTAGATTATTATTCCAAATATTGTATAATAAAAAAATAAATGATACTATCTTAAACATTTTTTTATATATTGTACGGCAAGTAATCAAAATCAGTTATTTATATAGTGAAAAAAAAAAGCAAGACATTGAATTTTTTTTTCTTAAACATTGTTTTTTAAAATAAAATTAAAATAAATATATTTATATATAACTTTTAGACAACTACTTTTTAAAATTACAAATATGGTAAAATAATGAGAATTATTATTTTAGAATTTCAATTTTACCCTTCCTGATGTTACTCCAATTTTACCCTATCTCTTTGCGAGTGCTATTAGTCTCACCCTCACCCTCACCCTCACATCACTATCTCTTCTACCGTTCTTTATAAATCAATCCAATCATTTCTTCTCTCCTTAATTCACCATTCAATTTCAAATATTCGTTTCAATTTCCACTGATCTCCCAAATTTCTGTGTATGAAGATTTCGCCCACCTTGGAGATGTGTATGATTGAGCTTGTCAACTTCCGAGATCGACCCGGAGCACCTTCTTCCACTTCCAGACGGTTCTTCCCCAACCTCAAAGACAAACAAACAACCTTAGATTCCTCCTCGTAATCTAGGGTTTGATTTTTCAGAATTTCAGAGTTTTCATACTGATTTTAATTTATTTTAGTTATTTGTATTCTTTGGCTTTTCTATTCATCGATTTGATCTTATTTTAGTATTTCTATTACATTCGTTCTTAGGTTTTGGTTAGTTTGGAGAAGAAGAAAGGGAAGGAATATGAAATGTAGAGGAGATAAACGAAAAAAAAGTTATAGCCGACTGTCGTGGTTTCTTCTTTGAGCTGAAAGGAAAGAAAGAGACAAATAGAAAGAGGGGAGAAGGTGAGGAGTGTACCAAAGATGGAGGAAAAACAAAATGGGAACAAGAAAAAGAAAGATTAGAGGTGCACAGAGGAGAGGGGAGAAGAGAAATAGCAAGAAGGAGAAAGGAAATGGGAAGATGAAGATATGAGAAAATTAGTGAGAATTAAAAGAAAAATAATAATCAAGGAAAAGAAAGATATATCAGGTACATAGTAATATATCAATAGTATAAAGAAATATATCAAATATACATAAGATATATATCAAAATTATATCAATAGTGAAAAATTATATCAATAGTAAATCACTATGATATTAGCAAATTATCAACAAATTGGCTAACATATGATTAAACTAAAAATCATATCAAAACACATATAAGAGATGATATATTTTAAATCATTGATATATTAGTGATATAGCAGTGGTAAATGAACATTACATATCATATAATCATATTAGAAATATATATCAACACATCGATATATAATTATATCAGTAGATATCAAAGGTATATCAGTAGACACGTAGTTATATCGGAAGTAAATCAATGGTATATAAAAGGTCTATTAAGTATATATCAGATATATATTAGTGTTATATTAGTAGTAAATCAATAAATGGTAAATCACTCAGGTTCTGCCAACTCAATGACCTGCACTGCTCGAACTGGAATCCTGCCAATTCTAAGTTCTCATCGTGCTGAATTTCTCGCACTGGGATAGGGTCCAGCACCGGCTCTTCTGGATCTCCAAAGATCGAAAAATTGAATGATTCCCCTGTATGAACGTCGACTTGATGATGCAAAGTAGAGGGGACCGCTTCTATGGCATGAATCCACGGCCTTCCAAGTAGCAGGTTGAAGGAAGTCAGGATGGAATATTTAGCCCTGCCCGATTTTAGTGACAATGTCTTTGTCAAGGAAATGTTCCGATCAATGCGCCACCTCCCCGGATCAGGACTCGGCCGGCGTCACGAAGGAATCGTGGAGCCAATTCATGTCCAGGCAATTGAGCCACCTTTTGGGTTGGGGTATATACTTACGGAAGAAGATCTCTAAAAATTGGAAGACAAGAAGAAGAATAAGAAGAATAAGAGTCTCGTAAGAAAGCTTTTAAATATCTTCAGACTCTGAATGGGCGATTAGTCAAAGAAAGACATAACTTTCCCTTTTTCGGTTTTCCGGAGCCATGGATCGATGCTAGCGGGAAAGTACATATGAGACACATATATGAATGGAAATCTTAAGGAAATTGAATTCAATATCCTATAAGATTGGGCTATTAGGCCTCCGTGTTTTTGGTTAGTTAAGGATAAAATTGTGATTTTTTAAGTTGGGCCTCCATATTTTTGAAGAAAAATTGCTATATTTGAAAATTTATAATGTAGATGCTAATTTTGTTATTTTACACTTTTTTTTATTGCAAGAGACCCTCATTTTTATTGTAAAAAAAATTATAAAATTAATAATGATTTGGTGTTCAAAATCCAACACATAAAAAAAATAAATTATAGCATCTTAAACATCTATTTATTAAACATCTATTTATATAGAATGACGATATTGAATCAAAATCAATTAATTAATGTTTATTGATTATTCGAAGTATTATATAATAAAAAGAAAAATGATAAGATCTTAACCATTTATTCATACGACCAAGCAAAAAATTTTTTTTGCAAAATAAGTAAAATAGCAACCATATTTTGGTTATTATTCAAATATAGGCATTTTTTCTCAAAAAAAAGAAAAAAACGGAAGTGCACGTATTAAATGACAACATTGTCCTGCAGGTCCAAACCCAAGCCCATAAAATCCTACGTTTCGATTTCCCTCTAATTTTCATATGATATACCATTGATATCTGTGTTTGATATACTACTAATATAAGTGTTTGATATATTACTGATGTCATAGTCTGATATACGCCTTATATGAGTATGTGATATACTACTAATATGTATATCTTATATACTATTTATATGAGTGTTTGATATACTATTGATATGAGTGTTTGATATATTAATGATATGACTGTTTGATATACTACTGATATGACTGGCTGATATACTATTCATGTGATGTCTAATTTACATTTGATATAATGTTGATTTTACTTTAACGGAAAAATGAAATATGGTATTTTGATTAAAAAATGCAACAATATTCAAAATTATAATCAATAGATAAAATTCTCAATATGATAACACCAACCCAAATAGAAATTTTTAGAAATTGACCATTTGGACACTTTCTGACATTTAATATCAGGAGATGCCCACTACAGTCATTGGTGCATCTAATTTGTCGAATATCTAAAAAGAGCCCACAAGATGCACTAATATTCAATCTAAATGTTGGATTGATGGAGTTTAGTTTGATTATAGGTTTAAACTATTTTAATAAATACTCTAGTATTGACCAGATTCAGAGGTACATTAGATGTATATTGGAAGTACGTCAAAGGTACATCAGATATAGATTTGATGCATCAGATATAAACATACATTAGATGTATATCATATATAAATTGGATGTATATCAGACATAGATTGGATGTATATCAGATACTGATATACGTCGGATGTATATCATATATAGATTTGATACATAACATATATCATAAGGGTACAATTGAAATAATAAAATTTACGAAAACAAAAATTCAAATATTTTACTATATTTGAAAATTTAAAAAACTGATGATTTTTTTTGAAATAAATAAAATATTTTTGTTACCCACCACAATTACCCCTATTCATATGGTATGATATTGAATCAAAATGAGTTAATTAATGTTTATTTATATGATAAAAAAATTTAAAATAAATGTTGCATAAATAAATATGGAACGAAATAAAATTAAAATAAATAAAATTTTCATAGTAAACAAAATAATTATTAATAACTTTGAGTAGATTTTGTTAAAATTTAAATATTTGAACTAATCCCACCCATAGAATTTTTATTTATTTGGAGGCTTAAACTAGGTTAGACTGATCGATTTTTCAAACACCCTAATAATTAGTCGATAAGCAGCAGATTTTTACGGAATTGACTCCTTGGAAGTCAAGTATTTTCCATCCTAAAAACATTTTGCTCGTTGAAAAAGGAAATGCCCTCCCCTCACTCCTCAGCGTATAAAATCCACAATCCTCACGGAAATGGAAACCGACAAAATTCGGCATTAGAGATCTCCTCTCAAGTCTCACCCTCAGCTTATAAAAACAGAAACCATTTGGAGAGAAATTCGCACCCCCTGCCCTGGCCTCGCTTCAAAACCAAAGCAAAATGGCGTTTTTGTCGAAAATGCCCTCGACGACATCGATTTTCTCCGCTTACACCGCCTTCGCAGCTTCAGCCATGGTGGTTCGAACAGTGATGGGGGAGATCAGAACAATTATCCACCAAATTCTTCCCCAACAACTCCGCCATGTAACCTCCTCCAAATTCAACGCCATTTTTGACTTCGGGATTCTCTCTTCTCAAAAGTTGGTTTACATAATCGGCGAGAGCAACGGAGTCACCACCAACGAGCTCTACAGAGCCACCGAAACGTACCTCCACACAAAAATTCCGCTATCTGTGAAGCAGCTCGAAGCTTCCAAAGCCAAAGAGCAGAAGAATTTCTCCTTCAAAATCAGCAAAGGCGAGAGTTTAACCGACGAATTCCAAGGGATTCAAATCACCTGGGAATTGCATTCCATCCAAAAGGATCAGAAACCCAATTCTGAAAAACGGTACTACCAAATGAGCTTCCTCAAAAAACATAAAGATTTTGTCGACGATGTATACCTTCCGTACATCATGAACAGAGCAAACGCCATAGACGAAGGAAACAGAGTGGTGAAACTTTACTCTTTGGGGTATGATGAATCCTCCATTGTTTTGCGGAATACGTGCTCGTTTGAGACATTGGCTATGGATCCGGAGAAGAAGAAGGAGGTGATGGATGATCTGGACAGATTTGTGAGGAGGAAGGATTTTTACAGGAGGCTTGGGAGGGCCTGGAAAAGAGGGTATATTTTGTATGGCCCACCGGGAACTGGGAAATCCAGCTTGGTGCTGGCCATGGCTAATTATCTCAAGTTTAGTATCTACGATTTGGAGCTCACGAGCGTTGACAGTAACTCAGAGTTCAGGGAGATGATGCTGTGCACTGCTGACCGATCAATTATTGTCATTGAAGATATTGATTGCAGCACTGAGCTTGAGGATCGTGAATGTGACGATTATGGCGACCGCAAAGGAAAGGCGAGTTAACTTATCGATTTAAGCTCTTGGGTTGAGGGCTAGTTTACTTATTGTCGGCTACGTGAATTAATTTTTTATCTTTCTGTATTTGCAGCTGACTTTGTCTGGAGTTCTAAACGCCATTGATGGGCTATGGTCGAGCTGTGGGGATGCGAGGATTATAGTTTTCACGACGAATCATAAGGAGAAGTTGGACCCAGCACTGTTAAGGCCAGGGCGAATGGATATGCACATCCACATGACTTATTTGACCCCATCTGGATTTCAGATTCTGGCCTCAAACTATCTGCAGATTAAAAGCCATGATCGATTCAAAGAAATCGAAGAGCTGATAATGGAGGTGGAGGTCACGCCGGCGGAAATTGCAGAGGAGCTCATGAAAAGCGACGATGCTGACGTGGCCCTTGGAGCAGTGGTGGAATTCATCAATGGCAAGAAGAGGAAGAGGGTGGAAAAGGACGAACGGGACCCCCAAGAAGACATTGAGGAAGAAGACCCGAAGGAGTTCAAACAAAAAAAGGGAAACACAAGAAGAAGAAGGCACATGAGATGGAGACGGGATCACTCTGATGAGTGGTGATCAGTCAATAAACTAGTTTTTATGGAAAATATTTAGGTCCTTAGATCAAATTTCTAATACTTTTTGCTTAATTTTTTCATCGTAATTTCTTTGAATTAAGTGTCATGTTATACATTGGTGAGCATAATATCTCCATGAAATTCTTATTTTGGTCCCAATTTTTCAAACCTAATTTCAATTTTACATGCCAATTTTAAGAATATAATTAAAATTTATATTGAGTCATCCTCATTTTAGCATGTTATTACCATACAAAATATATATACCTATAAACACGTTGAAATAAATAATAATAAATATGCAAATAACACTAATATGCCGTAAAAAAAAAACAATGCATTAATATAAAATATAAAAAAAATCACATATGATTTTTATATATATTTAAAAAATCATATGTGAATTTTTTTTTTGGTCGCCAACTTTAATAATAATTCTTAAATTTGATTTAAATGTAGAAGAAGGAGATGGCAAGATTTGAGATTTAGTTTTGGGCAAAATCTAATAAAGATTTATAGTTTGACTAATGAATGCAAACACTGTTTTAATCACAAGCAAGCAAGAGTAAAAAAGGAAAGAGAAATATATATATATATATATATTTTGCAAAGGTATAGAATATATAATTTAAGTATTATAAAAAAAACGCGTTTATTTGATATTACCTTCCCTACATTCTCAACAAAACAAAGAGAGATGCTCCTCTCCACTGCCCAGCGATCAATTTTTGGCATCGGTGGAGCATAAGATCTTGGCAGTAACTTTCAAAATAAACTAAATTCACATCTATATAGGGACTAAAATGGTAATTTATCTCAAAAGTCAAAACCGATTGTGTGCTACATCAAATGCATCTTCTAGTGAAACAATAGAGGAAAGAAGAAATCATTAATTACAGAAAGCTGTACATTTCTTCTCCTCTTTGGAAAGAAAAACCAAACTAAGTGTAAGTGGAGAGTGTAGTGTACACTTACAGGATACGAGGGAGGGACCAAAAAGAAATATACATATATACGATACAACAGAATTTACAAGGATGGTGGGCATCGCCTTAACTTAACATTGGTATAGTGAAAATCTTTTGCTCTTCGCAAAAAAGCTTAATGCTTTCCCCATCTTCTTCTTCGACACTGATTTGCATAGTGGCTTTGATTCTGGCGCAGCCATGAACGACTCGCTGTTTCCATCTCGCTGCTGGACGATATCGCTGTCTTTTTGCCTCTGCTCCCTGAACAGCATCAGAAGTTTCTGAGCTTTTACTTTCCCTCTTGAAGTCCCATTTACGGTAATTGCCACCAATCCAGGAATCACCCCTTCCTGTAACACCATTTGACTGCATTTTTCACTCCCTCTACATAAAATCAACAAACATGACACGGCTTGCTCTTGCTCAGAGCGTTCGCCTGCATCCACAATTGCTGCCAACCCGCTGATAAGCTCTGGGGCCGATATTATTTCGTCTATCCCCAACTGGATTGATGCTAAGTTTATCAAGACAGCTAAGGAAGTCTCTGTCCACATGTTGTCACCAGGGGCTGCAAGAAAGGATTGAAGTCCACCGATGATGCCAGCGGAAAGAAGAACAGGAACTATGGAGGGCACGGTTGAAAGGTTATAAAGGGCATGAAGCGCATCGAGCTTCGTTTGGGATTCGGCATTACTAGTAAGTAGCTGGATCAGGCAAGGAACGGCTCTACTCGAGCTAATGATAGGTTTGGCATCTTCTAGGCAGGAAAGATTCAAATATAGGGCTGTTGCAGGTCCATGTAAATTGGACTTCAAAATCATGTTCTCCAACAATGAGATAACACCTGCTGCTATCATTGTCTCCCTGTTTCTGAAGAAATTCACAACTATGTCATTGGGCTGTTCGCACGTATCAGAATGTATAGTAGTAGCATGCATATAGTTTACATACAACTAAAAGATCTAAAATATGTTCTTATTAAACTACCTGGATAACACAGTCTCCAATAGTTGGAAAGATAAAGGGGAGAAAACACATTCTAGGAGAATGCCATTAGAATGCAACTCACAGGAACAGCAATGATTCTCAAATTATAATTAATTTTGACAACAGTAATATCCTAGGCCCCAATTTAAGCATACAACTCACATACATCACGAGAGTGAGAGAGAGAGTAAAAAGTTATTCTGACAGTACTAATGTACTATTACAATTAACAGTTAAGGTTTCTGAATATAAGAGAATTTGAATAAAAACCATGCAGCCCCATTTTCAGAGTTTTTTCTTAAACAAAATAAAAAGTACAAAATCTCATTAGGGATGCAGCAACCTGCTCAATCAAGTCACAACTAATTCAATGACATCCTAGTTGCTACGTCTTTCATTTCACCATGGAATTTTGGCACAAATATGTAAATGTAAGATGTCAAATCAGCCATTATTCAGTCTATACCATGGCCGCAATGTACTTTCATTTAAAATGTAGGCTAAGATAAACAGTACGAACCTGTTATTGTTGACAGAAAGGTTGAAGAGAGCCATGGCTCCACTTTCCTGAGCATCAGCGTTTTCTTCAATAAGAGCTAAAGTTAGGAATTCCATAAGTGCCTCAGCAAAGCCATTGGATCCCATCAAAATTCGAGCCTCATCATCATCCTTCAGTAGAAGTCTTATCTGCTCCACAACCTTACATTTTTTTCTCAAGTCTCCCTCTTCCGTCAATAATGTCATTAAGTTTACACAACTCTCCAGTGTAATAAGATCACATGACTCCTCCAAGTACGAATTATTATCTACTTCATTTTCTTCAGCAATAGTAATGGTTCCACTTACCTCAAAAGGAACAACCTTAACTTCCTTCAACATACAAGAGCCAACATTGTCCATGGATCTTGACTTTCCAGACTCGGAATCAGACAATGCAAGCCTCCAATAGTTTAGATCAAGTGACTTTGGTGGACCATCAGGGATAGGAACTCCATTATGTTCACACCAATTAGCAATGAGACCCTTGACAGAGTAATTAGGTGTCAAAGACAGATGGGAGAGCTTTAGTTGAGTCTTTGGGCAAATTTTATGACCATCACTGAACCACCTCTCAATGCAGATCCTTTCATATGTTTGCCCAGAATCGATTATGACAGGGTCATACATAAGCTGCAATGATATTGGACACCTCAACTCCTCAGGTGGAAGAGGCATCTGCCCTGATATCCTATAATTTGGCTTGAAATTAAAAGAACTAAGCTTTGAAAGCTGCTGTTCAAAGACTTGACCGTTGGCTGGAAGTCCATTGTCCTCGAGAAAACACCGAACAGTAGGAGAACAAGGAGTTGACCCCTGCGAGTCGGTGTCATCAGACAACTCAGTTCTAAATAATTTAGAATACTTCCTCATAAGATGCAAAAGGTAAGCCACAATTGATTCTTTTCGCTTGTCTTCTTCTAAGCGAGCTCGTTCTATGAGTCTCTTAAGAGCTCTCCTCTCTGTGAGGGCTGCTTTGGAGGAGGTAATTCCAAGTTTTGTGGCAGCCTGATGAAAATGCTCCAGCTCATTATGGCCATTAGAATCATCAAATTTTCTTTCTTGCAAGAGTAATGCAATGATATCATCACCAACTTGCTTCTCGAGTGGATCAAGTAAGAAAACAGTGTCCTTGAGTTCATTCACTATCTGCTGAATCTGGAAGAAGTAACATTCACATAAGAATTTAATAAAACACGAGCTAGGACAAGTTTACAAAACTCAGATTCTCTATTTATTATCTCATTTGCGCTCCATCAAAGCAAGATCATGGTGAAACTACTAGATAGTGGGTTACAGACATTCTGATGTCCATATTTAAGCCTATGAGGCCTTTTTTAGCGCATTCCAAATGCAAGTGATAGGAGGGTCCAAGATTCAAGACACGATTGAGTTTATTATGTGATCTAATAAGTGAAGAATGAATAACTACACGAGATCAAGTTGCTAGCAAAATGATGAACTTTCTCTATGCTGTTTCCAGAACTTTGGCCAATGAAGGGGGTATGGACAGCATTCCAATCATCATGACAAGAGACAGGTCCAATTAAAAGTTTAAAAAGAAAGGAAAAAGAAAAAAATAAAACAGAGTTATTACCACCTGATCTCCAATTGATTGTGAAACAATATCTTCAACGCATACAAGACTAACTTCAAGAGAACATCTTGCCCTTTCAAATTTGGCGAGAACAGCATCTCCAGTTATGGACTGTCACATGAATGCAAACTCATCGGCATGACATTAATAATGACTTTTAGAAGAAGAAAAAGAAAGTAGAGCATAATGGTTTCATCCATTGGTTGACTATTCCTCACGATTAAATCTAAAATTGCATCAGAGAATTGATGGAATAATGATGATTGTCATGCCATCATACCAAGTAGAGTTTACTGGATTCTGAGCAATGCTGAAGAATATTCTTGGCCTTCTCAAGAGCTACATGCAATGAACATAAAGCCTGAATCCCAGTTTTGCTTCTGGGTCGTGCTGCTTCTAACAAAGGGAAAATTGACATAACTTGGCAATAAATTCCAGCGAGTTTCTTGTACATTTCTCCATGCAACTGCATAACGTGAAAAATATAGTTTATTAATTCATATCAAGAAAAGATAAAAATACATCCGTGGAAAAATTGAAGTCTTTAGAGTGGTTTAAACTTGCTGTAGATAATTGAAATGGATATTCATTATAAACATATTACAACTTAAAGTTTCAGTTCAATGACTACTAACTGTTACAAGGAAACTTGACTCCACATATCCCAACACCCCATAGTCACAGGCAAGCATACAAACAAAGGAATATAACTTCAGCCTTCCACCAAAATTATACTTTATAAATTGATATTGCTGCTTCTCTTTACATCACTATTAGAAAGTAATGTCATGCACTTAAGTGTCGCCGTTAAAATTTACATATGCAGTTGGATTTCTTAATAAGTTTTTATGAAAGTTAACAGAAGGTACTTCATAGGTAATTTGAAAATTCTTCTGTATCAAATGAAAATAGTTACTTATTGCAACAGGTAGATGCAGCTACAGCTCATAACTTTTGTGAGTTGAACTTAAGAAAAATACGTGATAGGAGGTCCTTTTAGAACTGATATGCAGAACAAACGCATCAATATTTATTCACAGCCATCTGAGAAGAACCAGGAAATAACTTTCCGCTCATACCTTGGCATCACCGGCAGCAAAAAATATTTCTTCGACCTCGGGAGCATCCATGATTTTACGTTCATCGATGACTATTTATATCATCTGGGTTTGCCAAAAGATAAAACGTCTGAATAAAATGACAAAATAATAGGGCAGTTGAAACTTAAATGAACAAGTAATAGAGACTTCCTATTCGTCACAGACTCGAGCAGGGCAAAATAAATTGCTAAATTTACATTACAAATATGCAAAAATGAAAATCTATCCTTAAATGTCCACTCAAACAAATTAAATCTATGAATTTCCAATTACAACCTTCAGTCGTTGAATAATAATTATTCCTCCACTAAGACCAAGAAATTATACTACGCCCACTTAAATGTTGACCGTCGATTCGTATTTCCCATTTAAATCCCAATCATTTGAATTGCTTCCAAATTCATCCCATCTCCCTTCATTGCAAATAATTTCATAAAAATCTGAAAACGACATCCTAAGCTGAGAATCGAAGCGGAAAGAGAAAGACCGAAAATAGCCGCCGCAGCCAACTGGCCTTCCATTTTCAGAAAGATTCGAGAAACGAACAATCAGATATACGGAAAACCGAATATTTCAATCAACAAAAACGAAACGCGAACAAAATCGACTGAATAAGTAGCAATGATGATAATTTCAAACGAGGGCGGATTTAGGATTGAAGATTACCAGAAGAGAAGAAGGGCAGCCAGAATCGACCAAGGAGGCTTCATAAAATAGCAATAGAGGAGCTCGGAGGAATCATAGAGAAGCTTAAACGCTGCATCTTCTGTAGACTTTCATCTCATTGCAGTTGATGCATCAAATCGAAGAGTGGAACTCTTGACAAAGAGAGCGCAATATCAACTCAACATTTTCTTTCTTTGTCAGATTTGAGAGGAGAGTGGGCGTGAGTGGCAAGTGACTATAATTGTCGTCGAAAATGGCTTTAATTTTAAATTCCAGTTTGTTTATGAGCAGGATACATAAATAAAGGTTTTTATTTTCT